CAGACAAGACAAGAATTTTATAATTTTTCACTATTTTGTTTACTTAATATTTCATAATAAAGTAATTATAAAATACTTTCTTTGTGTTTATTTGATTCCTATTCAAGAGAATTACTTTATATATAGTCAATATAGGCACAGAGTTAAATTTTTTAACATTTTCTAATGGTGGTGTGCCTCGTGATTTTTTTCATGAAACAAGTGTGCCTTTGCCCAAAAAAGGTTGAAAAACACTGGGTTAGAGCATGTTTCATACACCAAAAGGTTGCAGGTTCAATTCACAGTCAGGGCATATACCTAAGTTCGTGTTCGAACCCTGGCCGGAGCACATATGGGAAGCAGCCAATTGATGTTTCTCTCTTCTATTCTGTTCTCTTCTCTTCACTCTACCCTGCCCCCGCCTCCATATCCTCAAGTGAGGATTAAAAAAAGACATGAAACCGGCACCGGTTTGGCTCAGTGGCTAGAGCTTCGGCCTGGGGACTGAAAGGTCCCGGGTTTGATTCTGGTCAGGGGCATGTACCTTGGTTGCGGGCACATCCCGGGTGGGGGGTGTGCAAGAGGCAGCTGGTTGATGATTCTCTCATCAATGTTTCTAACTCTCTGTCCCTCTCTCTTCCTCTCTGTGAAAAATCAATAAAATATATTTAAAAAAAAAAAAAAAAAAAAAAAAAAAAAAAAAAGACATGAAAGCCCTAACTGGTTTGGCTCAGTGGATAGAGTGTCGGCCTGTGGACTCCAGGGTCCCAGGTTCGATTCCAGTCAAGTGCATGTACCTTGGTTGCAGGCACATCCCCACTGGGGGATGCGCAGGAGGCAGCTGATCGATGTTTCTCTCTCATGGATGTTTCTAACTTTCTATCACTCTCCTTTCCTCTCTGTAAAAGAATAATAATAATAATAATAATAATAATAATAATAATAATTAAGAGGCCAAAATGGAGAATGAGTCAGGAAACCAAAAGCCAAGAAATTGGGATGGATTCAGCCAGGTGCTTCAGGCTAAGACCATGACTAATGCAAGGTGTGGGGAGCCCTGTGCTCGAGGCAGCCTTGGGAGGCAGGAGCAGGCCTGGCAGCACAACATGCACGGCTAGTGCTCATGGCTACTCAGGATGACTGCTGTCATGGACCAAATTGTCTCCACTGCTTAGACCCTTGTGTTCACCTGTATTTTCTCCTTGTGACATGGTCAGCTCCAGGCCTGGGATGAGGGCTTCTCCCTCCCACACAACAACCCACCTTTCAGAGTTTGTCAAGCACTTCCTCTGCCCCAGCAAGGGAAGAACCAGGCAAGGTTTGAGACACTGGCCCTGCCTGCAAGGTATTTGCAATCTGGATGGCTTGTGCTCACTGTGAAGAGCTCTGGGAAAAGACTAAGATGATTTTCATCTCCTTTCCTTCCTCAGCAGTTAAACGATTATGGGCAAATTACTTACTCTCCCTGTGCCTCCATTTTTCTCATCTTCAAAATGGGAATAATTAAAAATGTTTGTTAGGAGAATTCATTAGGCGTGATGTGTTTAAAGCACCAGACCACATACTAAGTGCTCAATAAATATTACTTATTTATTTATATAAAATATAAAACAACAAAAGATTGTGATGGTACATGGTTAAATGCTGAGTTCTGAACAGACTTGGCCAGTAGATCTACTCAGCACCTGAGTCTACTCAAAAGCTTCGAGGACAGCCGAAACCGGTTTGGCTCAGTGGTAGAGCGTCGGTCTGCGGACTGAAAGGTCCCAGGTTCGATTCTGGTCAAGAGCATGTACATTGGTTGCGGGCACATTCCCAGTAGGGGGTGTGCAAGAGGTAACTGGTCGATGTTTCTCTCTCATCGACGTTTCTAGCTCTCTATCTCTCTCCCTTCCTCCTCTCGGTAAAATATCAATAAAATATATATTTTTTAAATGTTTTAAAAAAAAAAAAAAAGCTTCGAGGACAGCTGAGGACTGATCGCCTGGATGCTGATGGGAATTTGTATGTGTGCGCGCACGTGTGTGTGTGTGTGTGTGTGTGTGTGTGTGTGTGTATGCACCTGCAAATCCCCCAGCCTTCTCTCCTCTGCAGTTGGCAGAAGCATGAGATTATTTTGTTTTGTTCCACGATGACGACTCTGCTCTGTAACTACCGTGTTTTTATATCTCTAATTAGAACCAAACGTTTATTGGAAATCATGCCTGACGACGACCATTTCCTGCACCCCGGGTGCTCTCGCAGTCCTCACCTATGAGGTAAGAACTATTATTGTTCCCACTTTAGATGGAGACAGCGGGGCTCTGAGAAGTAAAGGAAGTTACTTGAGGTTATAGGGCTGGAGCCACCTGCACGCGCGCCCCGAACCGGATGTGAGCAAGAGGAAACTTCTGGTGAACCCATGGACAGTTGGGGGTCTTTTGGTTTCTACCACCGACCCTACCCAATTCGTCTCAAGCCCACGAAGCCATGTTTAGAAAGAAGGGATGGTCCTCAGACAAACAACACTGACACACACTTGTGGGAGAGGCAGACATTGCCCAGACACTCCAGAGGGTAAAAGAGAGAGCTGTGGCCACCTGTACAGCCACCTCTCATTCACGTAAACTTCCAGGGAACCTCCGTCCTGCATGCCCAGCACCTGGGACAGTGTCAGTGAAGGATGGGAGCAGTCATCTCAGGTGGAAACTGCTGTTTAGGTTCTGTACCTATTTGTTTGCTAAAACAATAGAAAGTTATTTTGATTTTCTGAACTTATGTATGCTATCCCAATACTCCATTGATGATGGTTTGAATAGCCCATTGATTGTGATCTCACTGGTCACCGGAGCATATTCTTGTGGGAATCAGGACAGCTCAATTATCGTAAAATTATCTCAGTACCTACAGATAACGAGTTTTGGTTGACTCAGTGGTCTTGTACCCTAAACTGCCTCAGTAGCTACAGATAACGAGTTTCGGTTGACTCAGTGGTCCCAGGATCTGCACAGCACAATTATTCTAAATTGCCCCCGTGGTCCCAGCTAATGTGTTTCTGTCGATTCAGTGATTCGTAGACACTTTATGTAGATACTTTAGATAACTAAGTTGCTCAATTTCACTTCTGTAAAAATGCTTTTCTCGAAACAGGTTCCTCATTCCATACCCAAAGTCGTAATCGATACCTTTGTGATATCCTGCCAATACAAGCCAGATGTGGCAAGCTGTTCGGGGCTCCGAGGTCTGGAGCGCTTTTGCTCCCTTGTACGCTGCCTGCTTTTAATAAATAATTAAAATTTGACTTTTTGAGGCGTCCTTTGTAAGATGGGCTTACCATACAACATCTGGAGCATACTAGGGCTGAAACAATATCTGTCAGTTGAAAAAATAAATGAATCAGCACAAACACACAAATATACAAACACACACAGCCCTATCCATACACAGTTATAGGCAAATATGCCCCATAAACAAATGCTCAAAACACTCAGTAATAGACAAGCATATACAATAGATACTTCAGTACACAAATGCAAATAGAAAACCAAGACACGTATGAACACATGCATATGTATGTACAGATATTATGGGCATACACATATGGTCCAGATATGCACAAATACATACCTATTCATGCCCATTCACATATACAGTGATTCCCAGACACCCTCCCTCCATCATGATCCCAGATCTGGAAAGAAGTCTGTGTGTCCTCGCATGTTGGAGCTTGTCAGAAAGTTCCTTCCAGCTCTCACTTAGCTGACAGGTAACTGGCTTCGGGTTTGGGATTGGCCAGGCAAGGAGACAGCATCTCAGGCAGTCTCTCGTGGGTGGGCAGGCAGGCGGCGGACGCAGAGGTCACCGGGGTGAAGGCTGGGGCTGCCCTGGCCTTTTTGCTTCTGGCTGGAATGTAGGGGCCGCCTCCCTGGCCTCCCTCCTTTCCCTCAGCCATCACCAGCTCCAGGCCTGGACCAACCCATGACCCCAGATTCTGCCAGGTTCTTGCAGCCAGGGTGCTGTGCACTGAGGGTGGTGGCGATGAGCAAGTGAGCACCGTGGGAGGGCGCACACAGATGCAATCACACACAGAAGTTGGTGCAAATAGTCACACACGGAGCAAGGCACACGTAGACAAAGGAAGACATGCACATTCACAGCCCCACTGAAATGCACATCCCGACACCCTCCCAAACACACCTAGGGACACAGCAGACACACACACACACACACACACACACACACACACAGTCACAGAGCTACCAAGGGACCAGATCCACACACAAGTGACAGTTGTACATACAGCGGACACACGCAGACACTCAGACCCCACAGAGCCTCATAGTGCGGGTGGGTCCTAAATGGCCCCCACACACGTGCACAGACACGTGCACACACAAGCACACAAAGACCCTGCGGGCAGACCCCTGCCAGTGGAAGCATCACCCCCTCCTGGGACCAGGCCACAGGCCGCTCTGCCTGTGGTGGGTGGGCCCGCAGGGAGGGCCTGAGGACACTGGACGCCTGGCCAGGAGGAGGCTGCACGGGGCAGACAGGCAGCTCTGGAGCCAGGGGGCTTGGGTTTTGTCTCTGTCAGTGACACACGCGCCCGCTCGTGGAGTGCTTATGTATGCACAACATATACATGCACCGGGGGCACTCTTTCACCCCCGAGGACTGTGGGGATGGCATCAGGTGGCACTGGAAATGAAGGGCAGGCCAAGCTGCCGCCTTCCTAGCGGTGCCGCCAACGTGGGGCTGCACAGCGCGATGCCCCGACGCAAAGCCGCCAGCCTAGGAGCTGAGAGCCCCGTTCGGCGGGCACCGGCTCCGGCCGCCCCGTGGTGAACCAGGGGCTGGGCTCCCGGGGGAGGGGAGCGGGAAGGCGGGGAGGGCGAGAGCCTCTTCCACGCACGGCGCTGCGGGACCAGCGCGCTCAGACCGCCGCGGGCGCCGGGCTCGGCCGCTCCCAGAGCCCGGTCCGCGGTGGGCGGGGCGGGCCCGGAGCCCCGCCCATTCGCAGCGCCCGAAGCCCAGTCGCCGACCAGCTCCAGTCCATAAAAGCTGCTGTCTGAGCTGGAAGCGGCATCCTCACTGGCCCGTGGGATCGCACCGAGAGCCCGACGGACCTTCCCTGGCCGCCTGCCTGCCTGCCCACCGCGCCGAGCGCTGCGCATCAGGCTCCCCGGCCACAGACTTCCTACCTGCGAGCTCCCGCCGCTAGCCCACTAGCGGGCAGTAGTGAGAGGACCAGCCAGCCTGCGAACCAGAGACTCCCCCAGGGAGGTGAGCATGATGATTTTCCTCGGGACGTCTGAGAAGATGCCGACCATGAGGCTGTTCACTTGCTTCCTGCACCTCCTGGCCGGGCTGACGCTGCCTGCTGTGTCTTCCCAGGTAAGACCCACCCTCACACCCCAGCCTGGCCCCCCCTGAGCTCCTCAGCCCCAGCACTGAAAAACCGGGGGGCTCCGAAACCACAGACCCGCTCCCTGCAGCGGCACCTCCAAGGATGTGCACACATTTCCCAGGAGGCAGGCTGGACCACGTTGTCTGGGAGGAGACCTCAGAGGCGGCCGGGCTGCCCCAGACTCCGGCTCTGGGGTCTGTCGTGGTGGGGGCAGGGAAGCCACAGGGACGGGAGGGAGGCTTCCTGTCTGGCCCCTGGAGCCACCATGGCTTTGCTAAAAGCATCTCTCCGCTAATCCCAGGCCGGTCCCTGACCTTGTGGTCAGGGTCGAGGCCTGGGACCAGGCAGACGCCCCCAGGACCTCTGACCTGGTCTGGCGGAGGGGGAAGCCGGCAGAAGAAGCCATCGGTGGGGAGGCTGGGGCCTGCCCGGGGCTGAGCGCAGGGCTCCGGGGAGGGCTGCGGGCAGGACAAGAGGTCCCACGGTACCGGCTCTCCCCGGTGGGCAGCCGGAGGTCCCACGTGCAGGGCCTGGGGAAGTGAGCAGGGCCCTTTTCCCAGGAGCCGGGGGAGTCTGGCCAGGAGCCAGCTTGGGCAGGGAAATCCTGACAAAGCCAATGAGCTGCCTTCCCACTGCGCTATCTATGCCGCTGCTGCCCCCCGAGCCTGCAGCCCCAGCCCCGGAGTGGGTGGGCTAGACAGACCCGGGGCAGAAAAGCCCCACCGGCAGCCAGCCACCCGCGGCTGCAGGGCCGGCCAGAGGTGTAACGTTACCGGCACACCAGCTCATGGCGCCACCCGCCCCAGCCCCTCAGCTCCCACCAGCTGATCACCTCTCCTGGCTCTGGCACCCAGCCAGAGCAGGCTGCATAGGGCCCGGCAGGGTGGCCAGGGGGCTGGGCAGGAGGAAGACCCCGAAGAACTGCAAGATCTTGGAGATACAGAAAGCAAAGTGCTCCCAAAGCGAGCCAGACCCCTACACTTTTCTAATGAGGAAACTGAGGCCAGAGTGAGGGCTGGGACCCACTGGGACCCACCAAGCATCCAGTGAGGTTTTCGTTGGACATGGGAAGAGACAGCGCTGAGACGGGGCAGAGGGTGTGTGCAGTGGGTGGGAAGGAGCTCGGATGGCCCGCTGTGCTTTCGCCAGCACACTCGGCCCCAGAGCACACGGCCCATGACGGTCCCCTCATCTCTGCATCTTTCTGTCCACAGCCACTGGATCTGTCTGCCGGGAACAGCTCGTCAGAGACGAAAGGTAAGCAGACTGGGCTGGTGTGTGTGCTCACCACGCCCTCTCCTTTCACGCCTCTGCAGAGGGTGGGCAGGGACTGGCCTGGAGGGTGGGTGCAGGATGATATTATTAAGTTGGGGTAAGTCTGCAAGCTGGCTGATGCCCGGGCTGACAAAGGTGGCAGAGCTTGAGGAAACCCCCCCTCCTTCCCCCGCATGGTGACCCAGAGGCCCGGAGAGGTGTATTCCTGGGCCAGGGTCACCCAGAGAGCAAAGCTGGGGCCTGGAGCCCAGGGTTGGCCTGGTGGGTCCAGAGCCCCCTCGCAGCATGCCGCCGGGGGTGCATAGGAGGTCTTGGAGGGCAGCGTGGGCCGTGAGTGCCAGGGGCTAGGCCGGTGGTCTGGGAGCCGGGCACCGTGGGCAAGCGATCAAGAGAAGCAGGAGGGGAGAAGGGACCTTCCCAGCAGCCAGCCCTTCCCAGCAGCCAGGCCTTTTCATTGATTACAAACAGACAGAGCATGAGATGAGTCGCGCCCTCCCCGGCCCCTCCACTCTCCGCCCAGGGTTGCATCAGGAGGGAATCTTCAAAGGGCGAGACGGTTGCCAAAGAGACATACGTGCAGGAGGCGGGAGGCTGGTGCCAGGCCCCCCGCCTCGCTCCTCCCTCTCGGCCTCTCCAAGACGTGCGCGCGGCCACACGCGCTTCCCGCGCTCCGTGGGAGTGGGAGTGCGTAGTGTGTAGGGACGTGCGCACGCACATGCATGACAGCCCGTGTGGACTGGGAACACCCTCTCGCTGCTGCCTGCCTGTCTGGTAGCCAGCTCCTCCGGGGCCTGGCCACGCTCTCATGCCCGAACCCCAGGTCCTGAGAAGTGGGTGGGGGAAGCAGCAGCTCTTGGCTTCATGGATGCTCCCTCTCCCCTTGCTGTGCCCTCTGAGGCTGGCATGATGTTATGCTCGCTTAGGTTTGGGGAGAGGCCCGTCCCCACCTCCTATCTTCTCCATGCTTTCAGCGTGCTTCAGGCAATAGCTGGAGCCTCAGTTTCCCCATCTGTAAATGGGAGCAGTAGGCTACATCATCGCGAAGGCTTCCTCTAAGTGTGCAGGATTCTCTGACTCCATGGAGGGGACACGGGAGTATACATTTTTCCAGGGGCGAGGGTGAGGCGGCTTGGAAGTGTCAGTTCCTTAGGGCAGCTAACCTGCCATCCTCACCCGTCAGGAGGCCTGCTTTGTGGCCGTGGGAAGTCCCAGGAGATTTGGACCCCGGTTATCAAAATCTGAAATTGCCATCCCCTCCTGCTAGCCCCGGACAAGAGACAGCGTGGTCTGTACTTTGCAGCCATGGGTGCTGGTTTTTACCGCCACGACCGTGTAAGGGTTTTGGGCATGGACGGTCGTTCTGTGCTGGTCACAGGCCGTGAGCGAGGACGGCGCGCGCTTGTATTCTCCCGGTTTCATGGATGGAGGCGCTGAGGCTCACAGAGGCCCGCGGAGCTGCCTGAAGCCCTGGACACTCCTCGGCAGCCACGGCTCCTGGCTGAGCGGGCACGGGCAGCGTGCCCCTCGCAGCGGGCTGGCTGTGCGCCCCACCCGTGGCGATGGGGCCGTGGCCAGCAGCCCTGCCCAGCCCCGCGGCCTCCCCAGGAGCTTGCTCTCAGGATCAGACAGTTCCCTTCCTGCGTCTCCTCCGTCCTGGGGGGTTAGGCAGCTGGAACCACGTAGGAGGCTCACCCACAGGGCTGTCCAGAACCCACTCGTGGCCCTGGGAGCAGCCTTCGCTGCCGGCCTCGCGCTGGCCTGGCCCTTCATTGGGCGACAGCCTCCCGCTCTTCCCACCCCTACCCCGGCCTCTGGGCCCGGAGCAGCTGAGCAGAGCTCTTTCCGGAGGGCCTCAGCCCACATCTGGGAGCGGCCACGACTTTCTCATCTGGCCCCTACCCCGGCCGGCCAGCGCCCTTCGTTTCCCCGCACCCCCGTGCAGCGGCCTCCGGGAACGGGGTGCCCCCTTTCCTGGGGGCTGCCGGGGACGCCAGGCCCCGCTCACCTCCTCGGCCTTGCCCCAGTGCGATCCGGCCATGCGGTCCAGAAAGAGGCGGGTTCCAGGGCCCTGCAGCCTGGGCCCCGGCGGCGATGCAGGCTGTGTGGTGGGGCGTGGGGGTGAGGAAAGGAAATCCCTTCTTTTGCCGCCAAGGCTCAGCTGGCTCTGCTTAACCTGGCTGTGGCCCCAACAGCCCAGCTGGATGGGAATCTGTTTGCAGACTCGTAGGGGGCTGGGATACCCCTGCTCTGCCGCTGTCCCCTCCCTCATGGCTGCTCCCGGGGGCGGGTCCTGAGCCGTCCTCCACGGCCCTCTGTCAGCTGGCTGGTCTCCGCCGTTATTTATGTTTTCCGAGGTGGAGATTAAACGCCCCGCGTTGCACAGCCTCGCGAAGAGCTTAGACTGAAACAGGCGTTCACGGAGCTGTGATAGGGAGGTGGCCCTCGGACCTTGCACAGCAGAGGCCGGCTTCCCTGGGGCTTCCGGGCTGCTTATGGGAAGAGGGGCTTGTTTCCCACGTGGGGGTCCAGGGAGAGCCCCCCATGGGCCTGGAGAGGCAGGGGAGGCACTGGTCTCTCCCCCATGCCCGGACCCAGCCCCAGTGCCCCCTCCGCACACAAAGCAGAACGGAGCAGCAGACGCCCAGATAAATGTGGTTTTATTGCTCTGTGGCCTCCTAGGCTGGCTCCACGTGGACACGCCGCTCTTGGGTGTTTCCCACCAGCTCGCAGCCTTTCCCCAGGGCCTCTGTGAGGGCTGAAGTTTATTTTTCTCCTGAGGCTCACATCCTCGTAGGCTACATGGGGTGGACTTTGGCCTCTTCCGCCTCCTGGAAAGGAGGTGAGGGGCTGCTGGGAGAACCATGGCTCTGGGGCAGGAGCGTCCGGGCCCCCCGGTGACCCAGATCCCATGCCCTCTGCCACCGGCGGAGGACAGCCATCGTGTGTAGGGCAGCATGACCCAAAGCCGGAGATGTTTCTCTGCCCACGGTCTCAAGGCTGGACGGGGTTGTGTGCCCAGAGTCACAGGCTGTCTGTCAGAGCCGGGAGAGACCTTAGCAACCCTCTATTCCCAACCTGCTTCCTCCTCCCCTCCCCCGCCGAGGAAACTGATACCCCCAGAAAGGTGACGTGACCTCCCCAAGGTCACGCAGTCAGTGTAGGGCCAGGAGTAGACACTTGGCCTCCTGCTTCTGCCTACTCACTTCCTGTGAGCCTCTCTCTTGGGGGCCAGGCCCAGGCCTTCCCCTGAAGGAGTAGCGTATTTTGAGAGATTCCAGGTTGGCCTCCAAAAACTCTTGTTCATGACCACAGGACATCCTGGGGGTCAGGGGTGGGGGTGAGGGGTGTCCCCGATATTCTTCAGTGAATAATCATCTGATCAATAAGTTATTATTTATCCCTGTGTTTACTGGGTGCTAGGGAGGGTCCCTGTCCTCACAGAGCCTCAACTAGCTCAGAGAAGAGATAAGAGCCCCAGTGATTGAGATAAGGCCAGCCCCTGGGGCCTAGCTGTACTCCAAGGAGGAACATCTGTTCACACTGGGAAAGTTGGAGAGAGCCTTGGCGAGGCCAGGAGGCCGGGAGGCAGAGAGGCAGAGAGGCGGGCTTTGAAAAACGGGTGGTACACTGTATTTGGTTGGCAATGAGAACCGGGGGAGGAACATAGCCCAAAGGTGGGAGCAACGGGGATGTGGCCCAGTTTGATTCAAGGGCTGGCCCAGGTGAAATGAGGAGTGGGGATGGAGAGTGTTGCTGGCTGCAGGCGTGGCTGCCTCGCAAAGGCGCTGGCCCAGCGTGGGGCGGGAGACAAAGACGAGGGCAAACTCTGCAAGCCAGGCTCACGGGATGTACAGAAAGGTTTTCTGCAAAGCGGGCCTGAGAAAGACCCAGCGGGCCTGGGGGAGCAGCCAGGGGGCGCTCCTCGGAGCTCCCAGGACCCTAAGGCAGGTGTGGGTGCCTCAGTGAGAACACAGGGGAGCGCTGGGTACACTGAGAGATTCTACCAGACCCTCTAACGGTCCAGCAGTCTCCCCGGAGGGATTGCATCAGTTCAGAGCAGAGGGGGCTCAGATAGGCTGAGGGCTTCCTGGAGGAGGAGGTGTGGGCTGAATCCGGAGGGCTCTGCCAGGCTGAAGGAGCCAGGATGGGGGCATCAGGAGCAGCCGCGCCTGACCTGACCAGCCAACTGTGCCCTCTTGCAGTGATGCCCTTCCAGGAAGTGTGGAACCGCAGCTACTGTCAGGCAAAGGAGAAGCTGGTGGATGTCTTGTCGGAGTACCCCGACGAGGCGGAATACATATTCCAGCCGTCCTGCGTCCCTTTGATGCGCTGCTCGGGCTGCTGTGGAGATGAAGCCCAGCACTGTGTGCCAGTGGAGACGGCCAACGTCACCATGCAGGTAGGGAGGGTCTCCTCTCGTCCAGCCCGGCCCCTCATCCACACTCTACACAGCGGTCCGCTCGCCTGCTGCCAGGAGGGACCTGGAGGGGGAAGGAGGGCAGATGGAGGTCACAGGACTGCAGCGACTCTCCAGCCCATGTCCTTTCCACCCAGCACAGCGCCCCTCCTTCCTGAGCCTGCAGCCCAACTGTGGCCCACTCACCGCCTCCCTTATCAGCTGTCCAGGCTCTGGCTTAGGGGGTGGAAGAGATTTGAATCTGCTCAGACTCAAGAAATCCCTGTTTATACCAGGAGTGCTTGGTGACCTGAGGCCCCCCCCCCCTCTCTCTCTCTCTATCTCTCTCTCTCTCTCTCTCTCTCTCACACACACACAATGGTTTGTGGAACACTTGCTGAGTAGTGCCAAGCACTGTACTAGGTAGGCCCTTCACTGCCTCAGCATTCAGCCTTCAAGGCAAGTCTTATTCCCATTTTACAGATGAGACACGTGACGTTCATCCCTCTCTCAGCAGGGAGGAGAGTCACGATTCCAACATGTGTGTCTGACTCCAGCGCGTGGGCCCCCTGCTCCATGGCGCTCTGTGGTGGCCGCCTCCCTGAGGCCCACATACTGAGGGAGGGCTGTTTGCCCCACACCTCAAAGCAGAAGGAGGGCATGTAGTCCAAAGGGTGGTGGGGGGAAAACACAGAGTCTGGTCCTCCCCCCCAAGGAGGATGTGGAAAATGTTGGAAACCCACGCCCGGCCCCCCTCAACCCAGGCATCCCACCTTTCTTTCTCACAGGTCCTGAAGATCAGCCATGGGCAGACGCCCTCCTTCGTGGAGATGACATTCACTCAGCACACAAACTGCACGTGCGAGTAAGTCCTCAGGGGATGGCGGGCACAGGCCCCATGCACGTGGCAGCCTTAGTCACGTGGCTGCCATCTCGGCTGCAGGCCAGGTTCCTTCCTGGCGGAGCGAAGCCGGCCAGGGAAATCGGGGCTCAGAGGCAGCTGTGTTTTGTCCCCGCATCAGCCAGTGTTTGTCTGAGGAGGGGTCCCAGGAGTTGGAGCACAGCCGCAAGGGTGAAGGAAGCCTGAGTCCCTCCCACACTAGGGGCTCAGAGCACACCACCCCCTCCCTGAGATGGGAGACAGGTGCCACAGCCCTGGAAGAGACACTGAGGCAAGCACAGTTCAAGCCTGGGCTCAGCGCTGGGCCAGGCTGGTGCCTGCGGAAGAGGACAGCGAGGCAGAGGAGCACCAGGGAGGAGGAAAGGGGCAGAAGGAAGAAGGCATTGGGGTTTCAGCACAATAGCACCCCCACCCAGCAGAGCCTCTGCCCAGCCCGATCCCAGGGCATCTGAGCAATAGTTTCCGGGAGGAGCAGGCCCAGCACTGCCAACCAGGCCTGGGAGAGAGAGAGAGACCGCCGAGGTGCTCTAGGCCAGTGGTTCCTAATGCCTCGACCCTTTAATACAGCTCCTCATGTGATGGTGACCCCCAACCACAAAATTATTTTTGCTGCTACGTCATAGCTGTAATGCTGCTACCGTGAATGAACCGTAATGTAAATATCTATGTTTCCCGATGGTCTTAGGCGACCTTGCTAGCGGTTCACAGCCATTCCGTTGGGGTAGGCAGGCGAGGCACTGGGGCTCCATGAGCATCTCTGCCGTGCCCAGGATGGCATAGACATGACCAGGCAGTCCAAGAGGCCCTGGTACCCTGCCCCGGCTCCCCAGGGAAACAGCCAGCCGAGGGCAACATTCCCTGGCCACGCTGCCTCCCAGGGAAGACGGAGGCCCTGTCCCCTTCCAACAGGCTGGCCAACAGGGACACCTTTCTTCTCACTTCTGGGCCAACAGCCACAGCTCCGGAGGCAGAGCCAGGACCTGCCTGGTGACTGTGGGGCTGTGGTTACCTCCCCTTCCTCCGCCCCTCATCCGCTCCTCCTGCTGCTGCCCGCGGCATCACATCCCTGGAGCAGAGGTGGCAGGTGTGCCCTGACAGGCAGCCTTAGCTGGCAGCAGCCACCCTCCTCTCCTGGCCTCACTCACTCTCCCTGAGGAAACTGGGTGCACCCTGGAACGAAGAGCGGGAACAAGAGAAAACATAAACAGAGAAGGCAGGAAAGGACAGGCTTACAAATCCCCAGATTTGATGTCAAGAGGCTGAGAAGTGCAGAGGTTATGGAAAGGGGCCCCGAGGGGAAATTGGTCTCTCTCTCTCTCTCTCTCTCTCTCTCTCTCTCTCTCTCATTCTCTCTCAGAGGGGTCACAGGAGTCTAGAGTGGGAGCTGAAGGCCTCTGGCCATCTCTTCCTCACTAGCTCCATGCTACCCCCTAGTGGTCTCAGTGCCAACTGCAGGACAGGACTGCGAAGGTCTGAGGGGAGGGAGGTGTGTGGGTGACAGGCAGCCCACGCTTACCACTCTCCTGATTCTCCCCTGCCCTCTGTTTTCCCAGGCCTCGGTCGCAGGTAACGCAGACGACGACGACAACAACAACGAAGCCAGAAGGGTAAGTGGCCTGGCTGGGGCTCCAGACTGTTCTTGGGCCTGCCAGCCCTGTCCTACCATGGTAAGCTCCCAGCCACTGTCCTGACGGTTTTGGCTTATTGCAGGAAGAAATCCAGGAATGGTGAGAAGAGGAAGAAAGAGAAGCAGAGACCCACAGTGGCCCCTGTGAGTGTGCTGGGGGGCCCTGGGATGACAAGGAGGCTGAGGCAGGGGGAGCCCCCACCAGCAGGGGTTCACGCTGGGGAAGGGGAGAGCAAGGCCCAGAGCAGTCTCGGGGGCCCGACCAGGGAGGTGCATTTTAGAGATTCTAGGGCCCTAGAACCTCAGGGGGCCTTGGGTCTCGTCCTGGCTCAGCATGAGTCTCTGTGTGGCTTGAGCGAGTCGCGTCGGCGCTCTGTACCTAGTGTTTCTGTGTAAAAGGAGGGCTCAGAGGCCCATCTAGCATTTAGTCATTCTAGAAACAGTCATCAAGAACTTGACTATCTGCCAGGTAGACCAGCAAACAAACCAACAAGATTCTTGCTCTTAAGTGCTTACCTTCTGGGAACGAAAAGTCCAGCAGCTGGCAACATAGCCAGGGCTATTTTCCAGAGGCGTCTGGGAGGAGCATCTGCCCACTGGCTCTCACATCCTGTGTTTTTGTGCCTCCCCTACCCCCCGGGGGGCCTCGGGTCTACTCGCTTCCATTTCCCTCCCAATGTCACCTGTCCACCTTGGCTTCACACCTGGAGACCCAGGGTGGAGTCCAGGCCTCAGTGGAGTGTAGGCCAGAGAAGGACTAGAGAAGGGAAGCTCAAATACGTGAGTAAATAGTAAAAACACAATATTTCACATCTACTTAGTCACAGGACAGCTCCTTTCAGCTACTTCTCAGGACACATAAGCTGACAATTCGGTTGAGTTGCTCTTTAATTTGTTGAAAGTGAAGACTTGGAAACCACCTGACTTGCAAAAGGCTTGGTTACCCAGTTATTTGCCATATTCCCTTTCTCTTTCTCTCTCTTTTTTCCATATTTCCTTTTCAACACTTACACCTTAAGCTGTTCTTTGTTCAGTGTTTGGCCTCGGGCCATAGTATTGTCCCGGCACAGGAATGGGCAGGATGGCTGCCAGGCAGAAAGGTATTTGGTGGTGAATGCTCAGGATGATGGGGAACCAACCCTGTAAGGCCGGCAGGCAGGCAGTTTTCAGGTGGAGAACTGGAAATAGATTCTCTTAAAACCATTGGTACTCATACAGATCTTGGACAGTTTTCATGTACATCTAGGGATACCCGCACCCTCGTCTGAAGACTGCTGCCTTAGAGCAATCAGATGTATTAGCGTATGGAGCCAGCCTGGGTTCAGGTCCCTGACTAGCTGCGTGACCTTGGGCGAGTTTCTTAACCTCTTTGAGCCTCCTTTTCTCATCGGCAAAAGAATGATAATACCGTAGCACTGCCTTCCTAATGAGCTATCGTGAAGGGTAGATGAGGAGGTGCTTAGCGCAGGGCTGGGCGGCTGGAGACGTGCTTGGTGAGGAGTAGCTCCCAGCTTCTCTGGCCTTGGTCCAAGCAGAGAGCCAGGCATGCTGCAATCTCCCTGCCCCGGCTTCCCCCTGAGGTTGTCCCTGCTGCTCCCGAAGGAGGGACCCCACCTTCCGCAGCGGGCTGATACCTGCTCTCTGTGTTTGGTCTGGACAGGTGAGCTGATACTTCTCCCCCCCACGATGACCAGCCCCTCGGAGGAGAGAGACTCCATACCTGGCTCCTGTATTTATTACCGTCACACACTCAGTTACCTCCTTACTGGCACCTGCCGTCTATTTATTAGCCAATCGTATCCCTGCTGAATGACTCTCTCCCTCCAAGATGAGGGGCATGGAAGGATATGACCCTCAGGAATTCAGTGCCTTACGCAGAACGTGAGAGAAAGAAGACAGCCACAGCCCGTGTGTGCTTCAGCTTGGGAAGAAGCAAGATGTGACTTTGCGAGGGCCACGCCGGGCTCCAGAGGCCCGAGGACTCCCCACGGGGCTGGAGAAGGAACAAGAGAAGAGGAAGAACCCACCACCTGCCCCTGGGCTTTGGGCTCTGCATGGACCAGCCGCCCTTTGGGAGCTCCGGCGAGGATGCGGGCTGAGGAGCTTGCTCTGGCCAGGCAGGGGTTGAGGGGCCCCGTGGCTTCTTCCTCCTCCTCCTGGCAGCGGCTCTGACCCTGGAGAGCGGAACACTCAGCTCTGGGGAACAGCCGTCGCCCGGGGCCTTGGCCACTTCCTCCTCGCATCTTGCTACAGCTTGTCCCGGGACATTGTTCTTTGTGGCCAAGGAAGGCTTCACCATCCTGCCCCGCTCAGGGACACAGGCCACGAGCGGTCCCAGGCCGGGCATGGAGCACACTACCTGCCTGGCTGTCTGGCTGTCAAGCCTTTTTCTCTTGAATAAAGTTATTCTAGTCTGAAAACCTCTGCCTCTGGGAGTGTCTGTTGGAGCTGCGAGCAGCAGAAGGTGGAAGCGGGACAGAAAAAGGATCACTGGCCCTCGGCTGCCCCCGGGGGGGCGCCAGCCTCCTGCAGCTTCCTGGGGGTGCCTTCTCCCCAACTGCTGTCGGCAGAAACCCTGCAGTCCGCTCTTCCTATTAAGAAGGATTTCCGATATTTAATCTCTGCCCCAAAGTTGGGGCAACTTGGACCCAGTATCCCATGAACACCCTCTAATGCAAGAGCACAGTCCCTTCCATCTCCCCCAGGGTCACCCCATACCTGACCCAGTGCCTGGCCCTCCGGACCCTGAGTGAATGGGGGTTCCTCGGGTCCTGCCCCCCATCTCCAGCCTGCTCAGGTTACCGAGTGCAGGGGTCTGCGGATGCTGCCCGATTCCCTATCCCTTTACCTACCACCCGCCTCTGCCTTCCTCCTGAAGGTCTTGGCATGAAATGAGAAAGAGTGCTTTTCAAATTTTTTTCAGTCCAAACCACATCAGACCCCATCTACCTCTGGTCCGAAAGGGCTGTAGTTTTATTGTTGTCGGTATTGTGGGAAGGAGAGTTCCCCGCTCCCTTGCAGGCTGCTCAGGACAAACCCACAGGGTCCGGGGCAGGCTCGCCCGGGGCTTTGGAGGGAAGCCCTGGACAGTCCAGTGGGTGCGGTGAGTTGGCCCTGCTGAGGCAGCTGGCCTTGGCAGTCTGTTCACCGAGGCCTGGGCCCCCTGGAGGACACTCTGGTCAGAATGTGTTCTGGCTGGTGATCACAGAGGGGGTGTGGGCCAGCCTCAGGGCAAATGCTCTGCAGAAGAACTGCACTTTCTCTCCTGCTTCTCTCCCCTTGGGCTGAGGCCATGCTGAGCCATTGCCTTGGATGAACTAAGAGCTGAGAATAGCAGCCCCTTCCCCTCGGCCGGGCCCTGGATTGGCCACAGGGACCCCAGCTCAGTCCCAGGAGCATCTCCAAGGCTCTCAGCTTCTCAAATCACCCACATGGAGCTCAGTCTTCCTCCACAGCCATAGAGCCCTCTAGAGAACTAGACAGAGACGGGGAACTCTCAGAGGCCAGAAGCAAAAAGCTGACCCCTGCCCAGAGCAGTGGGAGGAGTAGGAAAGGAACTGACAGGTCCATTTGGCCACCTGGGCAGTCCTTTTTGATCAGTTAGGTCCTGCAGGGCCCTTTTCATTTGCTCATTGGTTATTCATGGAGCACCACCTGTGTATCTGCCACTGTCCCAGGCACCACGGACCCGGTGGGGAATAAGGCACACAAGGATCTGCTCTCCTGTGTCTGAGAGGACAGACAGATTGTAATCGTGTGTTACAGGATATTGGGTGGACTTTACTGTTGCTCAAACTGGTGGCTGGACCTAGAACTAAGGAAAAAAGGAGCCTTGATACCCCACACTCTAAAACAAAGGAGGAACGATTTGGGGGTGGACACACCTGCCTACAGGTTTTATCAAGAGGTGGCTGAAGTAATCCACCCAGCACCTCCTAGAGCACCCCCTTCTCCATAAGCAGAAGACCAGGAAAGGAGAAGGAAAGGAGAGGGAGGTGAGGCCGCTGGAGACCTGGGTTGCTGGTTCCTCTTCCTCCTCTCTGTGGAGCTGGATTTGCCCAGGTGCTATCTCAATAGGAACTGGGGGCGAGGAGAACTGAAGAGTGACAGGGGACAGCATCCCGCAGGAATTTCCCAGGGGGCAGGGCGCCATGGTGAAAAGTGAACGGCCAGAAGCATCCTTGCCCAGGTTCTCCCAAGAGGGAGACCTGCAGGTGAGGAGATCCTACAGGCTGTGGGTCTAGGGTTGGGGAAATTGCTGAGTGGCACGTATCAAAGAGAGAACTGGAAAAAAAACACATCAGGGAACAGTGCTATAGGGCCGTGGTCGGCAAACTGGCTCACGAGCCACATGCGGCTCTTTGAGTGTGGTATTCCATGAAATACCACAGCCTGGGCAAGTCTATTTTGAAGAAGGGGCATTAGAAGAAGTTTAAGTTTAAAAAATTTGGCTCTCAAAAGAAATTTCAATAGTTGGTATTTGGCTCTATTAACTCATGAGTTTGCCGACCACTGCTCTAGGATATCCCTGTGGTGCACCAACAAGATAGTTGGCATCTATCATGGGAGGCATAGTCAGAGCCAGAGAAGAAATGGCCCCAACTAAGAGGGACTTTACTCCAATTTCTCCTTCCTGGCCCATTTGAAAGAAAGAGAGGGGAATGGGGAAGAGTACAAGGGCAGACCGTGCCCTTCCCAGCTCCCTTGAGCCAAAGCCAGGCCCTGCCTTCGGAGAAGAGAGGTGTTATACTTACATTGGGTAGACCAGCCTAGATGGGGTTGGGCCTTTAATAAATTAAAGTGACAGGAACATTAGAAGATCCGCCCAAAGTGCTATTAATACACAAGAAGAGGAGAATCAACATAATTCATCTAGAAGCAATGATGAGAGAGAAGAAGAAGAAGAAAAAAACTGGGTTGTTTGTGCTTTCACTGTTTGCTCAATAAGCAAGTTAGACATGTAAACAAAGAAATTAATATGTCATTGCCAAAATGGTTCTGGCACATTAGATATGACCTTGACTTCTTTGACATTTCTCCCTCGAGAGGGAAGGTCTGTTCCCTGTCTTTGAATCTGAGTTGACCTGGGTCTGCTTTGATCATAGAGCATGGCAGAAGAGACCCTATAAGAGTTCCAAACCCTTTCAAGAGATCTGGAAGCCTTGGTCTCTTGGAACCCTGAGCTGCCATGTAAGAAATTCAACTATCATGAAGTCACCATGTTGGAAGGAAGCCCGAGCTTGCTGCAGAGAGGTGTGGGGAGAGAGTGAGAGTGAGAGTGAGAGCGAGAGCGAGAGCGAGAGCGAGAGCGAGAGAGAGAGAGAGAGAGAGAGAGAGAGAGAGAGATGCTCAGCCAGCCTCCAGTTGTCCCAGGCTCCCAGCCTTTACAGTCATCTCAGCAGAAGTCCCAGGACTCATGGAACAGGACAAGCTGTGCCCTGTTTGATTTCCTAACCTGTAGAACCATGAGATATAATAACAAATTGTTATGCAGCAATAGGGGCTGAATGGAAAACAAGGAAAGGTGATCAGAGGTGATATTTATGGTGAAGCTGAAAGATAGGAAGGGATTCGCTCAAACAGAAGACACCACTGATGCAAACGCCTTAGAAGGGATCCCAGCAAGGCTGGGCAAGGGAGGAAGGGACATGAGATGGGGTTGATGTTTGAGGTAGGCAAGGGCCAGATCATGCAAGGGTTTGCCAGGTTAGGAGTTTGAATTTTGTTATAATGTGGAGGGAAACCATTGGAGGGTTTCAAGCAGGGGAATGAAGTGACAGCACACATATTTTTGGAAGATCACTCTGCCTTCTGGGTGGAGAATGGATCTTGGGGGCACAAGACTGTAGGAACAAATACCACTTACAAGGCTATAGGAGAACCAGGCAACCAATCAGAATGGCTTGGTTTAGGAAGAAGTAATGGAGATGAAGAGGGATAGAGAGTTTGTTCTTAATGTGCCACATGGACTGGTTACCCTGATCATTCATTCATTATTGAGCTTTTTTTGAGTCTACTAGAAGCAAGCAAATTGTAGTAGACACATGAATAAGGGGGCAAAATATATCAGCATATGAAAGTTTCCCCATTTCCCACTTAGTAAAGAAAATCTCATTCTGCAAGAAATAAGGATAACTGGAGAGAAAGCTTAGCTGAAGGGGCTACATTGATCTACCTAAGAACACACAGAGACAAGGCAAGCCGGAAAAGGGAAAGAAAAGACCTCACTGCTCGGTCTAGAGAAAGAGCGTGGGTTTTGTTGATTTAAGAGCTTCTGATGGTTTAAGACAATTTGGGGAGAGAGTAAGGGTTTGTAAAAGTGATGCTACACTTCTCCCATGTTCAAGTTCCTAATGTTCTTTGAGAGATGCTCACTCAATAAGGCAGAGAGCCAGCCCAGAGGAACACCTGGGTGAGCCAGGGTTGCACAGAGAGACAGAAGAAGGAACTGTCACTGGTCTTACAAAGCTGGTCGAAGGAGTCTGAGATGCACAGATGATTATGAAAGAAGGAAAGAAGACCACATGGCTTAAGCAGATGAAGTGCTACTAAAGAAATCTGAGATCTCTGAGGTAACTTACACATGGGGGAAATCAGGAAAATCAAGACTGGCTTCACAGAGTCTGTAGCATTTGAACAGTGACTCAAGGGATAGGCAAGATTGTGGGGAGATAGATGGAGAAGGCATTCTAGGTGCAGGCAACACATTAACAAAGATCCAGAGGTGGAAAACCCACCGCTATACAGAGATTTTCACACAGTTATGTTTGTTTGTTTGTTTGTTTGTTTAAATTTAATAAATCTTTATTGCTCAGATTATTACAATCGTTTCTCCCCCCCATAGCTCCCTTCCACCCAGTTCCCACCCCACCCTCTGCCCTTAATGCCCCCCCCATTGTCCTCATCCATAGGTGTATGATTTTAGTCCAGTCTCTTCCTGCACCTGCCACACCCCTTTCCCCCTTTTAATTATCAATCCACTCCCTTTCTTTGCCCCTCATTCTGTTATATTCACCAGTTTATTCTGTTCCTCAGGTTTTTAATTCATTTGATTTTTAGATTCACTTGTTGATAGATATGTATTTGTTGTTCATATTTTTTATCTTTATTTTTTTCTTCTTCTTCCTCTTCTTAAAGAATGCCTTTCAGCATTTCATATAATACTGGTTTGGTCGTGATGAACTCCTTTAGCTTTTTCTTATCTGTGAAGCTCTTTATCTGACTTTCAATTCTGAATAATAGCTTTGCTAGGTAGAGTAATCTTGGTTGTAGGTTCTTGCTATTCATCACTTTAAATATTTCTTGCCACTCCTGTCTGGCCTGCATATGTTCTGTTGAAAAATCAGCTGATAATTGTATGGATGCTCCCTTATAGGTAACTAACTGTTTTTCTCTTGCTGCTTTCAAGATTCTCTCTTTGTCTTTTGCCCTTGGCATTTTAATTGTGATGTGTCTTGGTGTGATCCTCTTTGGATTCTTTTTGTTTGGGGTTCTGTGGGCTTTCTGGACTTGTAAGTCTATTTCTTTCACCAGGTGGGGGAAGTTTTCTGACATTATTTCTTCAAATAGGTTTTCAGTATCTTACTCTCTTTCTTCTTCTGGCACCCCCATAATTCTGATGTTGGTATGCTTAAGGTTTTCCCAGAGGCTCCTTACACTATCTTCAACTTTTTGGATTCTCTTCTCTTCTTGCTTCTCCGGAGGAGTGTTCTTTGCCTCTAGGTATTCCAAGTCTTTGACTTGATTCTTGCGTTCCTCTAGTCTACTGTTGGGTCTCTGTATAATATTTTTATTTCAGTCAGTGTATGTTTAATTTCTAGTTGGTCCTTTTTCATATCCTCGAGGGTCTCATTAAATTTATCGGCCTTTTCTAGGAAATTCTTGAAAAACCTTACAACTGTGGTTTTGAACTCTATATCTAGTCTTTTGTTCTCCATTTTTTTCATTTGAGATCTGTTTCCTTGTCTCAGCATTTTTGCTGCTTCCCTGAGTTGGAAGGGTGGCTTTGTGTGTTTGGTGTCCTATATGGCCAGGTGGGTCAGCCTCCCCAGTGACCTGAGGTAGACACTCTTGGTGCTCCCCTTTGTATACTACCTATACAGCCTTATTGTAGTTATGTCTTGATTGTTGTTGGTATCACTGGGAGGAACTGACCTTCAGGCCAATTGGATGTTAGTATCAGCTGTGTCTACACTGGGATACCTTCTGTATTGGAGACAGTCTTATAGGCTCAGACTTGCAAAATTGCAAAAGCCTCTGAGCACAACTTGGATGGGGCGGAGTCTCGGGGATGAGCTGACAGTCTTGGCTTCCCATCAGTCCTGCCCGTGTGCACACGTCTTAGACCTCTGCCTTCCATGGATCCCCTGAGTTTCCATCTGACAGTCCATCTTACCCCTTGTAAGAGCGTGGGTGCCCCAGGGGCTTGCCCTGAACTGGGTTTCAGTGCTCAGTGTAGTCAGAACAGGGGATTCAGTGCAATCCAACTCCCTCCACTAGGGAGAGGCTGCAGCAACCTCCCCAGTCAGACCTCTCTGTGTGCACTCACTTGCGTGCAATTACCCACTGCGGCTCCCGACTCCCCCTAGTCTCCCAGTCTCTAAGTCTCCGGGTGCTTTTCTCTACAGTCAAGACTTCAACCGTATGAGCCTGGGTCCACAGGGTTTCAGACAGGGCTGGGTTCAGTGGAGTCAGAACTGGGGTTCAGTGCAGTTGGGGGCTTCCTTTCCCCTCCTGCCAGCCAGGCACTCGGCTGCCCTTCCTCTCTGCACATGTGTCTCCCTACCTCAGCGCTTTGCGGCTCCCCTGATCGTGAGCCTCTCTCCTTCTTTCTAGTTGTAGATTTCCCACTCAGCTAGCTTTCCTGTAGTTTTGGATGATATCTTTTCTGTCTTTTAGTTTGTTATTTTGAAATTGTTGTGCGAGGTGGCAGTATAGGCGCTTCCCTAGGCCGCCATCTTGGTTTTCCCCACATGGTTCTGTTTTGATGTTAAGGTATGTGAAGCAGATGAGTGATAGGCAGGGCCCTGGATGCCATCCTAGGTTGTTAGGGCATTGCTAGGCAGTGGGAGGCACTGACATTTTTATTTTTTTTTTAAAGCAGGGAAAAGTTTTAAGCAGGAGCGTGACATGATCTTGGAATTTAAGGCTGAAAGCAGGTTGACAAATAATCTATTTCTACCTCCTTATTTTACAAGCAAAAAAGTTGAGGCCCTGCCTTACTCAAAACTATGAATGTTAAGTGAGGCAGAATTTTAAAATTTACCAGTGAGTGGCTGAAATTGACTTGAACCCAGATTTCCTTCCAAATCTGCCCCTCATCACATCCTCTCCCCCTGAGATGAAGAGCAGAGCAGGGAGGAGGAGGAGGGAGGACAGTGTCTGCTCCAAGCCGGAGAAGCAGGCCAGACATCTGTGAGGTGGCTGGACAGAAGAGGCCCCTCCACAACTCTGGTGGGAACTCAAGGCTCCAGACAGGGCGGTGACAGAGTCTTGGTGAAAAAGGTGGCTGTCTGTCAGCACCAGAGCCCAGCAGCTATTTCCTAGAGAAAGTGGACCCTTCCCTGTCCTGAGGGAAGCCCGGACTGCTCCCCTGCCCTTGACATTGGCTGTGACTGAGGCCCATGAAGGCCTGGCTCCTCCTAAGTGTCTGTGCCCATCCCTCTCCTTCCCGTCTCCCCACCCCCCGAGGCCATGGGGCTCCAAGCCAAAAAGATGTGTTTCTAGTCCCTGAGATGACTTCATCACCATGAACACCAGGCAGGACCGTTGGAGGAGGCTGAGGACTTCCTCACAGAGTTGGGTCCATTCCCTGTTTCCTCTGGGCGACAGCGGGAAGGTCCTGCTGCCAGGCTGACCTCTTACTGACACACCCTGGAGACTTGGCCCCTGTCCTGGTTGGACTCAGAGTAGGAGAGACCCCTCTTCCATGTTTCAATCTTCCCCTTTTCCTCTCTCTCCTCTAAGGCCCCTGCCCCCACAGGCACCAGCGGTCCGCGGGACCACCCATGTATTGCCCTGTGGGCAGCACGTAACGGGAGCCTCTTGCTCACAGGCCCAGGCCCACAGTGCTGACTGTTTACGCTGTAATGGTGATATCTTTCTCCGTGAGCTCTTTATCCCCTTCAGAGCCGTCTGTGCCGCGGTCCCTTTTGAAGGCCCTGAAGCCTTCTCACTTGCCAGACAAGCTGGAGGAAAGTACTAAGAGGGTGAGAAATCTGCCCGAGGAATCTCAGTCCCTCTGGGGCCGGGGCTGACAGCTGGGCCCGGCTGCTGCACAGCCAGGCAGAAGCCGAGGCTCCCAAGGCTCTGATTCCCTTGCAGACCCAGGGCCAGCCGTGCGGGGCCACAGAGGTCATCGTGCCAGAGGGAAGGCCCAGTCAGAACCTGGGGGCCATCCTGGAGGTGACCCCAATCAACTGGAAATACAGCTTCTCACCAGACATAGGGAGGTGAGAAGTTGTATTTTGCCCCCTCACTCATGTATCTGCTCACACCCAAGTCTTTTTTTTTTTTTTTTTAATATATTTTATTGACTTTTTACAGAAAGGAAGGGAGAGGGATAGAAAGTTAGAAATATCGATGAGAGAGAAACATCGATCAGCTGCCTCCTGCACACACACACACACACACACCTACCCCCCCCACCCCCACTGGGGATGTGCCCTCAACCAAGGTACACGCCCTTGACCGGAATCGAACCTGGGACCCTTGAGTCTGCAGGCCGACGCTCTATCCATTGAGCCAAACCAGTTTCGGCCACAACCAAGTCTTGAGTCAAGATCCAGGAGCCGCTGAGTGTCCTCGGATCCTCCTTAGAAATCAGCCCTGGTCCAGCAGCCGAGACTCCAGGCGGGCTGCTACACTGAGAACTTTGTTGTGCATAGACTTCCCTCCCTCCCCACCCCTTTCCCTGAGAATAAAGCGCTCCCACCCTCTCAGGAACAGACTCACTGTTTTGTGGCCATAACACCAATGACTCTTAGGACCAGGGATACACCTGGTTTACAAGACCATGCATTTCAGGGACCTGCTCCCGAAACCATGTGCTCAATCAGGAACCATTCGCTTCCTGAAAGCAAGCAGTCAGCAACAGCCTCACTCAGCTGACCATGCTTCCAGGTCAACCAACTCCTGCATGCTCTGCAAGGCGGCTCATCCGGACTGGACTGCCACTTCCCCAAGCCCGGAAGACCGCCTTGCTGGGAGACTGTGCCTGCAAGGACAGCTCCCCCTTGCTGAAGCAAACAGTAAACTCAGCCTCTTGTTTCAGATATGGAGTAGTTACAGCTTCCTTCACTACCTCCTCCCCCAAATCTTTCTTATAATCTGTCACAGATTCTTCCAAAATCCAGAGAATGAGCAATATCCTTCTTGTCAGTGTTGGTATAAAGTTGACCTACAGTGGGGACAGAAGCCCCTTCCTTGTTATTCCTCTGTCCTCCCCCAACATATCAGCTCCATCCTGGACCCAAATAAAGCACCCATGAGACGGTGCATTGTGTCCCTCCTCTCACCCCCAGGCACGAAGACAGGGAGGATGGAAGTGCGGGAGGAGACAGCTGCCACTACACTTCCCTTCTGACACCAAAATGAGATTGTATATACTCATTGTTTTATAACTTGCCTTTTAACCTGTTAACCAGGGAGTTCTCTTTTTAATTACGCAACCTGTAATGGGCGCGTACTCTTTCACTAGGACGTGTCAGTACGTCACGCCCGGAGGACATAATTTCATATTATTATTATATTTTTATTTATACTTAATTAAAATAAATGATATATATATTTTTCATTTATTTATATATAAAGCACAAAGGAAAATACAAAATTACAAAAAAAAATAGAAAAGAATACCAACAAAAAAGTGGAAACATCGAATTAAAAAATTATAAATTTTACAAACAATTATAAAGATTACAAAAAATATATACCGTCCCTCTCAGGGCACAACATATATTTCCAGGACGTATTCATATGTCCTACCCATTCCCAATACTGTTTACGTTTGACGTATTTATACGTCCCGCTCGGTTAACAGGTTTTAAACTTAATATATTGAAGACATCCCCCTACCATGACACTAGATCTCCTACAATATGATTTTAAAATATATTTTATTGATTTTTTACAAAGAGGAAGGGAGAGGGAGAGAGAGTTAGAAACATCAATGAGAGAGAAACATCAATCAGCTGCCTCCTACACACCCCCTTCTGGGGATGTGCCCGCAACCAAGATACATGCCCTTGACTAGAATTGAACCTGGGACCCTTGAGTCTGCAGGCTGAAGCTCTATCTGTTGAGCTAAACTGATTAGGGTTACAATATGATTTTTTAAAGTACTGAATTGCAATGTATCATTTGGCTATTCCATCATTTGATTAATTGATCTATTGTTGAATATTTAGGTTCTCCTTTTTGTTGCTGTTATAATAAACAATGCTATATGAGGAACATCCTTGTGGATATGTCTTTGTGTACAGAAGTCTCTCCCATGATAAAAAATAACAACAGCAGCAAAATCAGACCAACCCCTCAATTGCACCAGCTCCCTCCAGTACCTCCCGATGTGGCTCTTGAGAGTTGTCTATACTTTTTGTCTCTTTCTTGGCATTTCCATTCACTACAGCCGTGCAAAAGGGATTACAGGCACCAATCAGCATTTTGTTGTTCTTAAACTCCAAGTCCTTTCTTCAACCTGGAAGCCTCCCTGAGGTCTGACCTCTATGCACCTCTCCAACCTCATCTCCTGCCTATTTCTCTAAGGTCTAGCACATTTGTCTTTTCTTAGTTCCTGAAATCTGTGGTGTCCCCTCAGGACTTTTACTCATGCTGTTTCTCTGCCAGGAAACCTTTTCCACCTCCCACACCCAGCCTCTCAACCTTGCTGACTAACAAACTTGCATCATCCATAACTCAGCTCAAAGGCACTTCCTCAGGAAAGCATCCCAAACACCCCATCCCCATCAAACCGGGTCTCGTGAGCCATTAGAAGCTTAGGAAACACCGTCTACTTCCTTATGGCACTATTCACTCTATTTGGGGGGGGAGGGGGGGGGGAAGACTTCCTAAGCACATGTACAGAATTTAATATATAACTTTTAAAAGTTGGCCGACCCTGACTCTGCCTGTCTCCCTGGCGGAGTCATGGCAGCAGAAGCCCCCCTAGCTGGCCAGCCCAGCCCAAGCCCAAAGGCCACCGAGCTCTGCCAACTGGCTCCGCACTGGAACGGGGGGGGGGGGGGGGGGGGGGGGGGGGGCGGGGGGGCATCCTTCTCACACTGGGCGCCTCCCACATTGCCATCGGGGTGCTGCGCGCGGTCCTCGGCGGCTACCTGGCCTTTTCAGTCAAGAACCTCCACCTAGTGACGCTGAAGTCTTGGTACCCATTCTGGGGACCTGCCTCCTTCCTCTTTTCAGAGATCTTGGCGATGGCAGTGGCGGAGGTTTTGAAAACCTCTCTGAAGGCGCTGTGCCTGATCGCCAACCTCCTCAGCTTCCTCTGCGGGCTGGCCAGCCTCTTGGTCCTGTCCAAGGACCTCTTCCTGGAGAAAACAAATCCGGGTGGGCCCCGATCTGGAGACCGTACCCCAACAGCACAGTGCACATCCAGAGGCTGCAGCAGGTCCTGTTCAGCCTCACCTGGCTGGAGCTCTTACTGCCCGTGGTCACGGCCGTCTTCTCCGCCGCGGACGACGAGTCTGCGGAGAGCGATGACTTGCCCCCGGTGCCGCCGCCGTGGAGTTGGTGATCCGGGAGCCGCCTCCATCCTACGAGGAGGTGACAGAAGGAGGCACACGGGAGGGGCGGAGCAGCTGTGAAGAGGCCTGGGCCCCGAAGCAGCAGCAGCAGCAGCAGCAGCAGCAGAGTCACGGGGTCCTCCCCCAGGGCACCCCCCCCCCCCCCAGGCCAACGTGCTGTTTGGAGAACTGGGTGGCCTGTCCTGATGGCCGAGGCGGTTGGTGGTCCCATCTCCTCGGGCACAGAAGGGCCTCCAGGCCCCCACCCCTCCCACACCCCAGCATCTGGTTGGTCAGGGCACAGCTAGACCCTTCCCAGCCGCCTGGCAGCTCAGGAGGAGCCCCCGGGGCCCAGCCGCCCTGACGCCTTCCCCATCTCCGTGCTGGCCCATGTGGGCTGCGAGGAGCCAGGGAGGGTGCCTGGCTTTGCTAGACTCAACCTGTGCGAGTGTGGGCTCTGGATCCCTGGGTGCCGGGGAAAGGGGCAGCAGCGGCGCCCGGTCAGGCAGGGATGCTGTGCGTCCTGGCCAGTGGGTCGCTGGGAGACAGCACCCTCCCCCCAATTCCACAGCAGCTGGTGCTGAGCAGCAGGCAGGGGGACGCCTTCCTTCCGTCCCCCGCCACCTCCCTTCGCCTTGTTCTGGGCTCAAACACTGCACAGCTCCTCCGCTGCCTGGAGGCAGGGTGACCTGGCCAGAGGGAGGTGGAGTGGGTCACTGAACCATGGGTCGGTCGGAGTTTGGAGAAAGGTGCCCTGGCGTCGCACCTGTGCCCGAGTTCCTTGGAAACGGCTGAAATAGCGTTTGTAGCCTCTGGGTTGTCCTGGTAACTGTCCTGACTCTCTCTTGTGGATTCTGAGTGTAAATCTGCTGTGACACCTGAGGTTGGTACTGCAGTCGGCCTTGACCATGGTCACTGGTCAGCTTATTAAAGGCTCATGAATTTAAATTAAAAAAAAAAGTTAATCATAACATCACAAATATATACCAACTTACTGTGTTCTTTAAAAATATCCAACATGAAAGGGAATTGTGGAGCTTTATTTGACCACTGCCTGCTCCCTCCCCAAGCCCAGGTCCTGCCCCCACTCCCTGGATAAGACGCTGTTAGGAGCTTTGTGTGTGATCAGCATAGGGCTCCAGAGCTTAGTTTTTGGAGCCAAACTGTCAAGCTTTGATTCCTAGAGCTCCTACTTCCTAACTGTATAAGCTTAACCTCTTAACCTCTCTCTGCCTTAGTTTTAGCATGTTTAAGTAAGGATTAGTAATCGTAACTAATAGTTTTAAGATTTACATAAGATGTTCCATAGGAATGATGCCTAGGCTTTCCTAGGCAGCAGAAAAGCTTTTTTTTTTTTTTTTTTTAGCTTGTAGAGAGCTCCATAATTTCATGAGTCTATTTCTTATCATAAGAAATCTGTCTGTCTATCCATCTATACTGTTGGTTCTGTTTCTCTGGACTAATACACTGTAACATATACTGTAGAAAATATATAGTACTAGAGGCCCAGTGCATGAAATTTGTGCACTAGGTGTGTGTGTGGGTGGGTGGGGGGGTGTCCCTCAGCCCAACCTGCACCCTCTCCAATCTGGGACCCCTCAGTTAAGATTGATCGGGCCTAAACCTGCAGTTAGACATCCCTTTCAAAATCTGGGATTGCTGGCTTGCCTGACTGCCTGCCTGATTACCCCTAACTGCTTCTGCTTGCCAGCCTGAGCACCCCCTAATCACTCCACTGCCAGTCTGATCAACACCTAACTATTCCCTTGCTGGCCCAGTTGCCCCAACTGCCCTCCCTTGCCCACCATCTTGTGGTGGCCATCTTGACCACATGCGGTGGCCATCTTGTGCAATGGTGTGAGGGTCAATTTGCATGTTACCTCTTTATTATATAGGATTGTTTTGTGCATTTAAGCAATATAAATTGTTTATATAAGTAGAATTTGGGAACTGACTGTTTTTACTCAATAATATGTTTTTGAGATCTTTCATGTTTATAAACATAGATTTAGTTCTGATTTAGTCTTTTAAAATGCTGAATAATAAAAATTCACTATATGATTATACCACATTTTATTAATTCATTTTCATATTGATATTACATAAGATTGAATTTGGAATATTTTTTCAATTTTTTGATATTTCAAGTAAAATTGCAATGAATATCTATTCTAATATATAAAAACCCAGGGTTTGTAAGGACTGACCGAAGGCTCAACTGAACACTGGAAGTCAATCCTGCCCCAGCATTGACTGCCCAGAGGGCTGCAGATCAGGCCTGGAGAAAGGTCTGGAGAGAGAGGCAGGCTCTGACCTGCAGCCTCTGTGACAGCTGTTGATCAGCCATTGCCTCTCTCTTTCTCTCCGGACTTTGCCAGCAGCCACGCCTCTGTTTTTCTCTGAGCCTCCACAGGTGCTGCTGATCAGCCCTGCCTCTCTTGATCAGGCCCAGAGATAGGCACAGAGACAATGACTGGCATAGAAACCGACCAATCAGAACCAAATCTGGGTGAACTGTGAGGAGCCAATGGCTGCCTAGGAGGCAGAGCTTTTGACACTGACTAGCATAGAAACCAATCAATTAGAATCAAATTGGCCATCAGTGGAAGGCAATTGGGGGAAACCAGGCCAGCAGGGGAGGGCAGTTGGGGGTCTAGTTCAGGCCAGCATATGAGGCAGTTAGGGATGATTAGGCAGGCAGGCAGGTGAGCAGTTAGGAGCCAGTGGTCCCAGAATGTGAGAGGGATGTCTGACTGCCGGCAGGAAGACATTCCCCAAGGGGTTCCCAGTTGGAGAGGGTGAAGGCTGGGCTGAGGGAATCCCTTCCCAATCCGTGCAAGAATTTCGTACAAGATCCCTCCCCACTTCATGCAACAATATGTATCCAAGGTATACTGCAGTAATAAAGAAAATGTTTTTTAGATGAAATATCTAGAATTAGAATTGGTAGATCATAGAGTATGTGTATTTTCACTTTAAATGGTTCCCCACCAGGAATATTTAAAAGCATTTCAGTTTCAACCTGAAAGTCATACTGATATTCTTAGACACTTTCTTCTAAACATTTGTGGTTGTTCTCTTTTGAATTTTTAATTTTAAACTTAGATTTATTTTTGTATATGGTATGAAGTATGGATTAATTTTTTTCTATATGTTAAGTCAAGTTTCCCAACACCTCTCATGAAGAATTCATCCACTGGCTTGAAATGTCTCTTTTATCCTAAGTCAAACCCCCCTACATGCATGACTTTGTTTCTGAACTCTAGTCTATTCTTGTCATCTAGTTATGTGCATCAATGCCACTTGTTTTAAAAATTGCAGCTTTAGACTATGTCTTTTGATTTGGTAAGGCAAGCTTCTAAGCCCCAGTACTTGTTCTTTTTCAAACAGCTATTGCTGCACAGTTACACATACTATTAAAATCACATAAGATATTACGTATCTGCTAGAGTCCCAGTGCATAAAATTTGTGCACTGATAGGGTCCCTAGTGGCTGCCAGCTGCTGGCTGCGTACTCCCTCCCTTTCCCGGGCTGGCCCTGCCCCCTAGTTGAACTCCAGGACAACTCGTGGTCAAGGGGGCAATTTGCATATTATGCTTTTATTATTTAGGATATGTATGTATTTGTTATTGTTTTTTTCCATTAGAATGACAGTTCCATGAAAGCCTTTTTTTGGTTAGTGTTATTCACAAGGATACCTAGAAAAGGGTCAGGCCCAAAGTAGGCCTTCCAAAAGTTTTGTTAAGTGAATGAATAAACATGAATTTTAGAATCATCCTGTTCTAAGTTCTTTGAAGAGTTCCTTTGGTGTTTTTATTGGAATTGCATTGAATTTTTATTTTATTTATTTATTTATTTATTTATTTATTTATGTAAGTATATTTTATTGATTTTTTACAGAGAGGAAGAGAGAGGGATAGAGAGTTAGAAACACCGATGAGAGAGAATCATCAATCAGCTGCCTCTTGCACACCCTCTACCTGGGATATGCCTGCAACCAACGTACATGCCCTTGACCGGAATAGAACCTGGGACCTTTCAGTCCACAGGCCAACACTCTATCAACTGAGCCAAACCAGTTTTGGCTGCATTGAATTTTTAAATTAATTTGGAAAGAATTGACATCTTTATAGTGGTAGTCATGTTGAACACAATACAACTCCTCATTTATTTGAGTCTTTTTTGTGTCTTTCAGTAGAATTTTATTGTTTTCTCCACAAAGGTCATATATTTCTAGTTAATTTTAAATGGTGTTTTGTTTGTTTTATTACATTTATAATTTTTTTTTTTATTGATCTTAGAGTGAGGAAAGGACAGAGGGAAGGAGAGAGAGAGATGGGTATGAAAAAGAAACATCGATTGGCCACTTCTTGCATGCACCCTGGCTGGGAAATTGGACTTGCAAACTTAGTATGGGCCCTGACTGGGAATCAAACATGCCACTTTTTGGTGTATGGAATGATGCTCCAACCACTGAGCCACACTGGCCAGGGCTATTTCTACTTAATTTATTCCTAAATATGTTATAGTTTTGTTACTACGTGAATGAGATTTTAAAATTATTATTACACTAGAGGCCTGGTGCACAAATTCATGCACCAATGTGGGGTCCCTTGGCCTGGCCTGCGAGATCGGGCCAACACTGGCTCTCCAACATCCCCCAAGGGATCCTGGATTCCGAGAGGGCGTAGGCCAGGCTGAGGGACCCCACCTGTGCACAATTGGGGCTGAGGAGAGATGTGGGAAATTAGCCAGCCAGGGAGGGACCACATGAAGGCTCCAGGGTTGTCTGGCCTGTCTTGCTCAGTCCAGATGGGCTGGACCCTACCAGCAAACTAACCTACTGGTTGAAGCGTCTGCCCCCTGGTGGTCATTGTACATCATAGCAAGCAACCTTAGCATATCATTAACATATGACACTTTGATTGGTTGAAAAAATAACCAGACATTAAGCATAGTAGGCTTTTATTATATAGGAATATTAAAATTATTATTTCTGCCCTAACTGGTTTGGCTCAGTGGATAGAGCGTCGGCCTGCAGACGGAAAGGTCCCAGGTTTGATTCCAGTCAAGGGCATGTACCTTGGTTGTGGGCACATCCCCAGTAGGAGGTGTGCAGGAGACAGCTGAATCGGTGTCTCTCTCATCAATGTTTCTAACTCCCTATCCCTCTACCTTCCTCTCTGTAAAAAATCAATAAAATATATTTTAAAATTATTATTGCTGATACATAGGAAAGTTCTTGATATATAAATATTGATCTAGTGCCCTGAATCAAAGGGTCACCACCTGGTATTGTAGGCTCAATTCCCAGTAAGAGCTGTTTAGAAGGTAGCACATTATGTTTCTCACATCAATGTTTCTCTCTCTCCTCTCTAAAATAAATAAAGACATATTTTAAAAAAAAGATTGGTCTAGTATGCAGACATTTTGCTGCACTCACCAATTATTGCTTTGGGTTTTCCAGGTGAACTATCACTTCATCACAAACAATGGCAATTTCGTCTCTTCCCTTCCAGTTTTTTAAACCTCATGTTTGCTTTCATTTCTTATTGCATTAATTGTAACTTCCATTATATTGTTGAAGAGTATATTGACTCATTTCTGACTGTAATGGTATATCATTTAGGATAGGTTAAGGTATGCTGCAGTAACAAACAATCCCAAAATCTAGTGGTTTAACACAATAAAAATGCATTCCACTGGTCCTGGCTTGTTTGGCTCAGTGGATAGAGCTCCAGCCTATGGACTGAAGGGTCCCGGGTTCAATTCTGGGTCAAGGGCACACGTCTGGGTTGTGTCTTGATCTGGGGGCGGACGGAGGGAGTGCAGGAGGCAGCCAATCAATGATTCTCTCTCATCATTTATGTTTCTATCTCTCTCCCTCTCCATTCCTCTCTGAAATCAATAAAAATATTTTTTAAATGCATTCCTCGCTTACACCCCATGACCAATACAAGCCATAGAGCAGGGAGGAGTTCCTTAGTGTTGTTTCTCAGAGACTCAGGCGAATGGACGTTCTGTGCCTCCATGGACATGTGCTTCTACGGTAACCAGAGCGGAAGGACTGGCTCTTGGAGCTTCTCCTGTGAAGTAACTCACGTTCTGTCCACTGGCATGTCAAAGCACGTTCCCCGGCCAAGCCTGACTTCCCCAGGGGCAGGGAAGTGCCATCCTACCTCAGGTCAGAGGACCGTGGGAATGGGTCTAATGCCCCACCACTGCGCAGGATGGAAGTTGCATCACATATGCTCCAAGTTTCTAGCAGATAATCCTTTCTCAAGTTGAGGATTAAGTTCACGAGTTTGTTTAGATTTTGTTCAGCAAAGAGTTTTGGCTATATCATGCATGAGCATTAAGTTTTATCAGATGATTTTATAGTCTCCTTTTGATGTGCAGATTTTATTCTTCTCCCTTGCTTTGTTGGGGGCGTTTATAGATATTTTTCGCCCAGAACACACTCCTCTACTGCCCTCTTCAAACACTTCAAAGCTCATTCATTCGTTCATTCATTCAGCAAATACTTACTTTAGCAATACTGTGTGCCAGATGCTGTTCTGGGCACTTAGGGTACACCAGTGAACAAAGCCCACAGAGGCCCTTGACCCCACCCTCTCCCCAAGCCTGCCCCTCCCCAAGCCTGCCCCCTACCCCCACCCCACCCCCAGCGCTCCGCCTCGCCTCGCCTACGCTGTGGCTTTGGGGGCCGGCCGTAGCCGAGCTGGGCGCTGATTGGCGGTTTATTCTAACAGCTAGAGGCTGAGCTCATCTGCAGCCAATGGCTGGCTGCACCCGGCAAGAAGCCTGCACCCGGCTGGAGGGCGCAGAGCCGGGGTCCGGGTGCAGGATCGCCGGCAGAGGTGAAGGGGCGGTGGTGGTGGCTCCGTGGCCGCGCGGACAGAGCTCCTGGCTCGGGCAGGTACAGTGTTTGCCCGGCCCTTCACCATCTCTCCTCCCAGACCCCCTCCCCTCACTCCCCAGCTCACCTTCCTCGGCCTGACCCCCGCGGAGTGGTGCCCCCAGCGGGGAGCCCCCCCACCCCACCCCCGCGCCCCTGGAGCTCAGGGGCTGGACGGACGCACCGCTCTCCGTGCGCAGGCCTCGTCCTGCGGCTCTGCCCTCCAGGCTCTGCCCCGCAGGACCGGCCTCAGGCCTCCGAGCTGCATGCCCTGTCCCGGGTGGGCTGGACCGAGTTCCTCCCTCCCTCCCTCCCTCCACCTCCGGGTCTCAGCCTGGCCAGGGAGCAGCTGCCCGCCGGCCCGAGATGTGGGTTTCCCTTCCCGCCCCACGCCCCATCCTGTTCCCTCCTCCCTTTCTCTCCAGAGGCGGGCATGCCTGCGATTGGGAGCTCAGGCCCTGCTCCTTCCCAATGGGGCCCCAGAGCAAGGGCGCCCCCTGCAGTGCAGAGAGGGGCAGGGGCAGCTCTGCTGGCCTCTCTCCGGGCCCTGTCCTTGGCCACGGCCACTTCTCTGTCCCTTTGGCCGCGTGTGTCCCACACACTCCGAAAGGAGCTGCTGTGCAGTCTCTGGCCACGTGGGCTCCTGGCTTCAGAGCCATCCCCAGAGCTGAGTAGGCCCTGCCCTCCTCCCTCTAACCCCATCCATCTGCCCCTCAGGCATGTCACTTGCCCACAGGCCCGAAGGCCTGGCTTCGTGCCCAGCTCCCTGCTGGGCTGTGTGGGAGGTCCTCACCCCTGACCACACTGACCTCGGCGCAGAGGGAGACAAAGCAGGGGCAGCCGCTCTGTCTGCAGCTGAGTGGGGAGGGACAGTGGGGTTCCCCAGGGAGGAGCCGCGAGGGGAGAACGGGCAGGATGGAGGGAACCGTGTGAGGAATGGCTCTGCCTCTGCTCAGAGTGTGGCCTCCGTTGCGTGTACTGTGTTTGATTTTTTTTTTTTTTTCAAAGTAGGAGAGAGAGAGAGAGAGAGAGAGAGAGAGAGAGAGAGAGAGAGAGAGGGAGGGAGACATTAATCAGAGTTTGCTCCATGAAGGCAGCTCTGGGTCACAGATATCTTCAGTTCCCGCCAGTGCTCAGCGCCTAGGAAGTCCTCGAGAAATGCTCACTGAGCAGAATTTGAATCAAAGGGAGGAGCCCCAAGCGTGTTCTTGTTCTATTACCACCCCTTAGGAAAGACCTGGCTCCGTGAAAGGACTTGACCCCCATTCGCTCTGATCCTCCAGCCCCCAAGGTGTTCGCCTCTGAATATTCAGGGGAGGAAACCAGGGTGCAAACGGGGTGTTGTTCCCAATGGGGTCCTCCCTCATGCCCCTGTTCATCCCCCCACGCCCCTGTTCATTCCCCCATACCCCTGTTCATTCCCCCATGCCCCTGTTCATCCCCCCATGCCCCTGTTCATCCCCCATGCCCCTGTTCATTCCCCCATGCCCCTGTTCATCCCCCCATGCCCCTGTTCATTCCCCCACGCCCCCTGTTCATCCCCCCATGCCCCTGTTCATCCCCCCATACCCCTGTTCATCCCCCCATGCCCCTGTTCATCCCCCCATGCCCCTGTTCACTCCCTCATGCCCCTGTTCATCCCCCCACGCCCCTGTTCATTCCCCCACGCCCCCTGTTCATCCTGTTCATCCCCCCATGCCCCTGTTCATCCCCCCATGCCCCTGCAGGGCAGCCGCCATGAGCCTGGTGGCCTGCGAGTGTCCCCCCGGCCCCGGGCAGGAGCCCGAGCCCTGCTCGCGAGCACCGTCCCAGGCCCGTGTGTACCTGGAGCAGATCCGCAACCGGGTGGCCCCGGGGCCGCCGGACACGGCCAAGCGCGACTACCTGGTGGACGCAGCCACGCAGATCCGGCTGGCCCTGGAGCGCGACGTCAGCGAGGACTACGAGGCCGCCTTCAACCACTACCAGAACAGCGTGGACGTCCTGCTGCGCGGCGTGCACGGTCAGGGCCGGGCGGGGCGGGGCGGGGCGGGGCGGGGCAGGGAGGGCTCCGTGGAGCTCCCTGCATCCGCCCCTCTGTGCTGGGTGAACACGGCCTGCAGGCCTCTCCGAAAGACCCTAATAAAAGCTCCTGTTTATGGAGCAGTTCCGGCATGCCAGGCCCTGGTCCAAGGGCTTTGCTGCATTTATTTTTTTTATTTTTTAAAAAATATATTTTATTGATTTTTTTTTACAGAGGAAGGGAGAGAGACAGAGAGAAACATCGATGAGAGAGAGTCATCGATCAGCTGCCTCCTGCACACCTCCTACTGGGGATGTGCCCACAACCAAGGTACGTGCCCTTGACCAGAATTGAACCTGGGACCCTTCAGTCCGCAGGCCGATGCTCTATCCACTGAGCCAAACCGGTTTCGGCTGCTGTATTTTAAAAAAATATTTTTTATTGATTTCAAAGTGGAAAGGAGAGAGAGAGAGAGAGACAGACAGACAGACAGACAGACATCAATGAAACATCAATGATGAGAATCATTGATCGGCTGCCTCCTGCACAGGGGATCGAGCTTACAACCCAGGCATATGCCCCCTGGCCGGAATCGAACCTGAGACCCTTTGGTCTGAAGGCTGACGCTCTATCCACTGAGCCAAACCGGTCAGAGCAGGGCTTTGCTGTATTCACTCATCTGAAGCTCACGGTAGAGGAAGATGCTGTGTATGTTGTTGCAGGGAGCTCCAAGTACACAAAAACTATTTTTGTTCCTATTTTCCAAATGAGGAAACAGGCACGGGGCAGTTACAAAGCCTGTGTGTAATGGGGGTAGGCTGATGAGTGGACGATGGGCAATTACAGTCTCAAGTGTGAAGAGCAATGAGGAGGAAGTGAAGGGAGGGAGACTGAGTCCAGGCGCAGCCGGCATAGGGGACTTTCTGGAAGTCCAAACTCTCATCGGAGCGCTGAAGAACAGCATGTGCCTTGTCCAGCTGAAAGGCCGGGCAGAGCTCCTGAGAGAGAACAGCGAAGGCTGGAGGGGTGGGTAGGAGCCTGTTCAGGGCAAAGTGAGGCATTTCCAAGCTGGGGGAGAGACCAGCCCTGAGGCCAGTGTGGGACCCGGGGGCCTTGGTGGCCAGGCTCGGGTAGAGTTGAGCCCTGATTTGTGCCTCCTGCCCTCCTGCTGACCTGCCCCTCAGTGCCTGGGCTTCAGGCCTGCCCAGCAGACCCCTCTGTCTTCCAATCCCGATCTCCTCTGGCCTTTTCCACGCTGGGCACCAGAGAGGAAGGCAGCCGTGTTCTCCCGGGGCTCCTGCCTCCTCCTCTGAAACGGACATGGGCATCCCACTCTGTCCCTTCCCAGGCGGCGGCCAGCGAGGTGGTGGGCGCCAGCTGTAAGGCGCTCTAGGCCGGGGGTGACCCCGGCTCCCAACCCCTCCTGCCATCTTCCTTCCTCCTCTCCCGCCGGTCTCCTTCTTAGAGGAGGGGCTCGGGAACAGATGGGGGGCGGGAATCTGCTGACCAGCCTCAGACCTAGGCACCCTGACCTGTGGAGGGCGGAGGGCGGAGGGCAGGCAAGGGGAGTTAGAACCACAGCCCTCCAGGGCCAGAGAGGGGAGCAGGGTGGGCCCTGGTAACCCCCTCCCCCCACAGTTGACCCCAACAAGGAGCGGTGTGAGGCTGTGAAGCTGAAAATCACCAAGTACCTGCGGCGGGCGGAGGAGATCTTCAACTGCCACCTGCAGCGGAGCCTGGGCGGCGGGGCCAGCCCTGGCGCGGTGAGGAGGGCGGCCCGCGGGCAGAGGGCTGGGCGGCAGGGGGGCAGGGGCGTGTGCCCGGGCGGAGGGCTCCGGCCCGCGGGCAGAGGGCTGGGCGGCAGGGGGGGCAGGGGCGTGTGCCCCGGCTGCCTGTGCCCCGGCTGCCTGTGCCCCGGCCCTCCGTTGGCTTCCTCCCTCGCCCACGCCCTCTAGGGTTCATTCACTTTCCAACATGCAGTGAATCCTGCAGGCCGGCCTCTCGCCCTCACAGAGGACACACACACACACACACACACACACACACACACACACACACACACCGCCCCGCCCTCGCACACGGCGCACACACAGGCTCGCGTGTGCACACACTCCCAGGCTCCCCGGGCTGTTTGTGTGTGAATGGGCCTCCGGATGTGGAGCAGACACGAATACCGCGGTGTGCGCATACACACGCATGCACACACAGCGGTGCCAGATGCTCTCCCCAGGCGGCTTTCCCTAACCCAGTGCACACCCAGAGGGGGTTGAAGACACACGCCCACCTCTCATGCCCAGGACACTCACTCGCACCCTCCTAGGCTCACTTTCCCCCCAGCCGGGTGCCGGGCCACGTGCCTGGGTCTTCGAGGCACGTTCCCTGGGGCCCACATGCTCCCAGGGTTCCTCCCCGCCCCCGGAGCACTGCCTCCTGGAGGCGCTTTCGAGGGCGGCTTCTGAAGCCCGAAGGGTGGCTTCTGGGCCTTGGAGAAGGGCTGCGGGGTGGGCAGTAGTCGGCAAACTGCGGCTCGTGAGCCACATGCGGCTCTTTGACCTCTGGAGTGTGGCTCTTCCACAAAATACCACGGCCTGGGAGAGTCTATTTTGAAGAAGTGGCGTTAGAAGAAGTTTTAAGTTTTTAAAAAAATTGACTCTTAAAAGAAATTTCAATCGTTGTCCTGTTGATATTTGGCTCTGTGGAGTTTGCGGACCACTGCGGTAGGGGGTTGAGAGTTGGGGGGCTGAGTGAAGAGGGCAGTGTGCCTCCCCCCCCAAGTCAGGACCAGCTTCTCTGCTCAGCCTGTCCCTGTGAGGGGCGGTTGGACCGCACCCCACTCTTGCCCGCTCCCCGTGCTCCCCCTGCAGCTGGAGGCCCGGCCCTCGGCCCGGAGAAGCAGCCGCTGAGGGCTGGGCCCTGTGCCTGTCTCACCTCCGCAGGGTTTCAGCAGCCTTCGGCTCCGGCCCATCCGCACGCTGAGCTCGGCCCTGGAGCAGCTGAGGGGCTGCCGGGTGGTCGGGGTCATCGAGAAGGTGAGTCAGCCGGCCCCGCGTGCGGGAGGGGATGGTGTGTGCGGGGGGTGACGGGTGGCCAGAGAGAGCACCACGCCCAGTCCTTCGGGGGAGACGGGAAAGGGGCAGGTGTCCAGCGGTGCCCAGTGGCTCCCCTGCCTCCCCCAGCTCACACCAGTCAGGTCCTGGGAAGGAGGCTGGGAGCCCAAGAGGCAGTCAACGCCTCCCACAGCCCTCCAGCTCGGACACAGGAAACTGCTCCCCCCGGGATTCAAGGCAGAAGCCACAGGAGGCGCGGTGCCCGGGGCATCCGGCCCCCACACTGCTCACTCCCACGTCCCACAGGTCCCCACCCCGCATTCCCCCGGCACCCCAGGGCTGCAGCCGAGTCCCCCACCAAGCACAGCCAGGAAGTCCCCGTGGCGGGAAGGTGCTCACCTCCAGAAACCCGTCCTCGGGGTGTCCCACCGGCCCGGGCATCATCCGGGGCCTGGCCGCTGTGCACCTCTCTCCGGGCCCCACCCTCCTCCTCACCCCTCTGGGCCCTTCCCTTCACGCAGGCAGACAGGAGGCTAGGACCTGACATCCCAGCCCGTACCTGGCACCCTCAGCGCGGGGTCAGCAGGGCAAACAGTTGGGTCAAATGAGGTGGGAGCTGTCGACATAAGAAATGTCCAAACCTGTACGAATTTTTATGAGTTTATTTGAGCCAAACTGATGACAGTTGAGGGGAAGCGAAACCCCAATGGACTGAGAAAATGTTCCAGAAAAAAAAAAAAAAAAAAGGCAGTTTTACCACTTATTCCGTAGCTCAGAATTAAAGGGGAAGACCAGGGGTTTGGTTACTTAAACTTCATGGGTGATAGATTAGGGAGGCAGGAGAGAGCAGCTAGGAGAAATGTTTGTTGTTTGGGAGAAAGTAGAATGGATAGACACATACTTCCTTTCCAGAGGAGGGCACCGGCAGGCATGGAGGAGCGTTTTCAGCACACAGAGAGCGTAGTCCGGGAACAGGACACCGTGAGGGGCACTGTGGTCTCCGGACCCGGTGGGAGGTGGATCCCGGAGGGGTCTGTAAAGGAGATAATGCTGACATTTCCAAGGTTCGTTACCTCAGATGCAAAAAAGACAGACAGGCTCACTTCAGGTAAAGACTGGCATTTGTCAAGGAAGCGATAGGCCTGGGATGGGACGCTCCTTCAGTTGGGAAGCTTTATGCTCAGACCGCCCGGTGCGGTTAATTTCAGTCCCTGAGCTTGTCTGGTTCCGCCTGTGGCCCCTTTTCCTCCGCAGAGCCGGCGCTCGGTGCCCTCTGCTCCCACCCAGGGCTGCCTGGGTATCACGGGAGAAGCTCTTTCTCACACCCGCTGTTTGTCAGGATCACCTGGGGGCCTCCCCCAACATGCAGGCGCCTGGAGCCAGAATCTCTGGGGTGGAGCCAGGGATCTGTAATTCAGACACTCATGGGGGATTTTTTTTTTTTAAATATATTTTATTGATTTATTTTTTTATTTTTATTTATTTTTTTATTTTTATTTATTTATTTTTTTTACAAAGAGGAAGGGAGAGGGATAGAGAGTTAGAAACACCGATGAGGGAGAAACATCCATTAACTGCCTCCTGCACACTCCCTACTGGGGATGTGCCCACAACCAAGGTGCATGCCCTTGACCGGAATCGAACCCAGGACCCCTCAGTCCACAGGTCCGCAGGCTGACGCTCTAGCCACTGAGCCAGACCAGTCAGGCACTCACAGGGGATTCTGCCGGGGCTGGAGCCACAGAGCAGAGAGGCCGGTGTGAGCTTCTGCACTCGCCGGAGGGGGAGGTCTGTCGGGGCGGCACACGGGCGGCCAAGGGCAGGTCCTTCACCCTCAGCGCTCGCCGGCCGGTGGGGTGAGGCTCCTCCCCGCACGGGGTGATGTGGGAACTAGAGTGAGATAATTTAGGGGAAAGGCCTGGCTAAAACCCGTGATGCGTGTCTGACGGCTCTCGGTGCGAGTGACAAGTGCCAGTCGGTGGCATGCGGGCTTCCCGTCCCCAGCCTTGCTCTTGCTCCATCGGCTACTCCCAGGCCCCTGGAACGGACCCCAGTAGGTCAGCAAGGCCCAGTCAGGCTCCGTCTGTGCAGCCTGCCCGCCCGCCCGCCAACTAGTCCATGTGACTCGGCCAGGCCGGGAGGTGACCGCCGCCGCCGTCTCCCTACGGGGGACCCCACGGAGCCCGGGCGCCGTGCAGGGTGGCGTTCCGGGGGAAACAGGTTTGGGAAGCAGTGAGTGGGCGTCACGCTGCTCTGCTTTTTAAGTTACAGGAGTTTTGGGGTGCAGACGGGCACCTTGCGTTGCTGGGAGGGAGGTCTGTGACAGGACGCCCCTCGTGTGCTCAAGCCCAGGTCGCCCCGTGCGTGCAGAGCGTTCTCAGAGCCCGGCGTTCTGAGGCCCGTGCGTGTGGCCAGCCGCCGATCCGTCCGGGATCGCCCTGCGCTCCTGCTCCACCCCCCTCCAGAGATCCCGTTTCCTTCTCCCGCGTGTCCCCAAATTAGGAGCGGTGGTGGGGAGCCTGGGGCCGGGTCCCGGCCGCCAGGCCTGGATGTGCCTCACGGCGTCCCGTTCGGCGGCTCTGCCCAGGCAGCTCCGGGCGGGAGGGCAGCGCTGGGGCAGCACAGCCAGGGAGGGCAGAGGGCTGGCTCAGGCAGCCCGACATCCCCTGAGGTGCCCCGTTGTCAGGGGAGAGGGCCTCCAGGGCTGAAGAGGTACTGGCAGGCAGAGAGGGTGGCAGGGAGCAGAGGTGGCTGGTCAAGGACGAGGGAGGCAGTGGGCCAGCATACCCAGGCGTCTGAGTCAAGGATGGGGAAGGAAAAGGTCACTCAAGTCACTTCTTGTTTTTTGGCTCCAACACAGGGGTGTGTTTTTTTTTTAATTTATTAGTTACCAACATTGAAAAGTTGGCAAGTTTCATATAAACGTCCAGCTCTCCTGCTTCTCCTCAAAAGCCAGAGGCCTGGAGAGGCTGGCTCGAGGGAGTGGAGGAAGGGCCGGCTGCTCTCAGGGGCTGCATCCCTCGGCTTCGCCCCGTCCCCGCCCTGCTCGTGTGGCCCACAGGCCTGGCCCCTGCGGACCTTGCATGTTGCAAGCCCGTTTGCAACGTGGGGGCCTGTGAGCTCGGTGAGAGATCCCTCCTGGGGTTTGGACACGTCGGGCGTTTTTACAGAAAGGGTTCCTGTGTCTCAGCAAAGACACGGCAGCAGCTGCGCCAGCCACATTTCAAGGCTCGATACCCACACGTGGCTAATGGCTTCCACATGGGACGGTGCGGATGGAGTTTCCCCGCTCGGCCAAAGCTCCTCTGGGAGGGCTCCTGCGAGGAGCTGTCTTACGGAGCGTGAAACGGGGTCCACAGAGGCCACGGGACCGGAGGGTGTTGAAAGGAGGAAGGGGAATTTTCGTTTCCTTGGTTTAATGGGAAAATGCCCTCCCTGGTACCCCTTTTGAGACAACATGAAGGAGGAAGGCATTTAAAACAGAAACAATTCCCCACCTTCCTACCTCGCTCCAAGATAAGGACTGCTAATGTTCTGGTCGAATTCTTTCCAGATCAGTAGGTTTTAGTACACAGATAGAGTTTAACCCACTTGTTTCAATGTCCTGGTTAAGTTTTTCTTCTTTTTAATATATTTTATTGATTTTTTTTTTTTTTTTTACAGAGAGGAAGAGAGAGGGATAGAAAGCTAGAAACATCGATGAGAGAGAAACATCCATCAGCTGCCTCTTGCACATCCCTTACTGGGGATGTGCCCGCAACCAAAGGTACATCCCCTTGACGGGAATCGAACCTGGGACCTTTCAGTCTGCAGGCCGACGCTCTATCCACTGAGCCAAACCGGTTTCGGCCTTGGTTAAGTTTTATTTCTCACTGCCCCTGCCTTCCTGGCTGGTTTCTGGACTCTGTGAACGCCAGGGCCGTGTCCAGGACGAGGGAGTAGGAAGCCCCACTTGGCAAGGGGCAGTGGGGAATTATCTGGGTGTCGGCGCTTGTGGGAAACAGTTCTCCCAGATGACCCCGGAGTTTTTTTCTCAAACATCGTACAGATTGGGCCAAGGAGTGGGGCTGGGCTGGGCTCCGTCTGTGGCTCTTGGAGGACGAGCCCCCTCACTCCGGCTGCACAGAGCCCGCCGCCTTCGCCTCCCTGGTGATGGGGACCTTCGGGCCCAGAGTGAGCTGCTGGTGCCCCCACTGGCAGGTACTCTCCACGGCTCCAGGATCAGCCCGCCTGGATTCGAGTCCCGGCTCTACCCCTTCTTAGGAGTGGGATCGTGGGCAACATAACCTCTCTGAACCTTCATTTCTCAATAAATAAATAAATAAATAAATAAATTTCTATTGATTTCAGCGAGGAAGGAAAAGGGAGAGATAGAAACATCAGTGATGAGAGAATCTTGATTGGCTGCTTCCTGCACAATCCTCCTGGGGGTGGAGCCCACAACCCAGGCATGTGCCCTGATTGGGAACCGAACCGTGACCTCCTGGTTCATAGGTCGATGCTTAATCACTGAGCAACACAGGCCTGGCTTAACTTCAATTTCTTCATCAATAAAATGGGTCACCAATAGCACTCATCAAGTAGGGCTACGGGACTAAATCATGTAAAGCATTTAGCACAGAGTAAGTGCTCCCTAGCCAGTGGGGTTTCTTAATAATAATAATAATAATCACTACAGATTATCGAGGGCGTGTTCATGGCAGGCACAGGTTGCTGCTCTACTTGAGTTGTCTGCTTTATAGAATCCTAGTGACCTCCAGGTGGGGTACTGCTATCACCCCAACTTGCAGTTAAGGAAACAAGGTTCAGAGAGGTGCTGTGACTTGGCAGATGTGGTAACTGGCATGCTCACGACCTTTACATTCACAAATGGCATCAACCAAACCAGTGATGCAGGCAGGGGGGCATTTGCAATCACTCTTTGGTGGATGAGAAAACCAACTCACTTGCCCAAGATCCTAGCCCAGTTCCTACCAGGCTCAGGCTTCACTGCCCAGGGGTCTGGCCTTAGGGCGGGCTCCACACCCCCCACAGGGAGTGTCTGCAAGGAGTCAACCTCACCAGGTGGTCCTGTTCCGCCGGCCCCTAATCTGGGCCATTTTCTCTCCCCGCCCCCCACATGCTCGGCATGCCCTCTCCTGGGCCTGGGGTCCACCCTGCCCACCACAAGAAGAGGCAAGGACCCAACTTGCTACAAGGCGCTGCCTCTGAACAAAACCACTGGGAGGAGTGGACTGGTCTCCGAAGGCAGCCTCCAGAGAGAACTATTGAAAAGAAGGGTGGGCCCTGGATGGTCTGGCTCAGTGGATAGAGCGTCGGCCTGTGGACTGAAAGGTCCCAGGTTCGATTCCGGTCAAGGGCATGTACCTTCGTTGCGGGCACATCCCCAGTAGTGGGTGTGCAGGAGGCAGCTGATTGCTGATTCCCTCTCATCGATGTTTCTGACTCTCTATCCCCCTCCCTTCTTTTCTGTAAAAAAAAAACCAATAAGGAATATATTTTAAAAATAAATAAAAGAAGGGTGGGCATCAGGGGAAGAGACCTGAGAGAGCACTCCCGCCCAGGCACTTAGTGGCCTGGGCCACACTCTCAGAGCCTCCGCTTTCCACCTGGGAAATGAACGATCAGAGGACGTAACTGGCTCTGAGGTCGTTGCCATCCGTGACACCCTCACACCCTGCAGGCTGGGCCCCTCACCATGGATGTGTGCTCTGGAAACAGAGCTGGTCCGTTGGCTTCCTGTCCTCCTGGGGCTCACAGTGCAGGGGGGAGATGGGAAATTAGACACCGTGTGATAAGGCTCCCCTAGGGTGAGCTTGGAGAGCACCCGAGGGCCGGGAAGGCTTCCTGGAGGCAGCGGCACATGAGCTAAGGCCTGCAGGTCTAAGGAGGGCGGGTGAGCAGGACAGGATGAGTGTCAGTTTGGGGGCCTGCCTTCCTTGCCCCTGGAGTGAGTCGGCCTCGGGAGGAAGCTGGGGGCTGGCATGAGGGCCGTGGAGCCCCGGGAACCAGCATGTGCTTGACCAATGCCTCCTGGACCTTGGCAGGTGCAGCTGGTCCAGGACCCGGCGACCGGAGGGACCTTCGTGGTGAAGGCAGGTGCCACCCAGCCCTCTCCATGCTGCATTCCCCTTGGGACTTTCTCAGAGCTCTTAGACCCCACTACCCTCTAGGGAACCCCCGACTCAGAACCTCTATCTGACATCCGTGCCCCCTCCAAACAGGAAAGCCACTCGTCCTGCCCTGAGCATGCCGGGGCCCTCCAGACACTCACACTTCACTGCCCCTCCCTGGCCCGGGAGGTGGAGGCCCTGGGTGGCATAGGGAAGACAGGGGTGGGGGCCAGGGCAGGAAGTGGAGCAGTGGCTCCTCAGGGTGGCTGGCTCCCGCCCCTCATCCGGTTGCCACTGAAGCCGGGGCTCTGACGTCCCCTCACAGAGCAGCCTCTGGCCTGCCCCCTCCCCAGAGCCTGTCCAGGTGTCCCACGGCGAGCCAGGAGCGGCTGACCATCATCCCGCACGGCGTCCCCTACATGACCAAGCTGCTGCGGTACTTCGTCAGCGAGGACTCCATCTTCCTGCACCTGGAGCATGTGCCAGGTGAGGGCCCCGGGAGGTGTCCCCTCGCCTTCCCTTAAAATGCCTGAACTGGGGGGAGGGGTAACCTGCACTGAGTGTGCAGGCAGACCTGGGCCCGGCTTTGCTGGCGGGTGGCGGCCGGGTCAGGCTGTGTGGGTCTCAGAGGGGCAGGGATGGCCTGGGGAGGATGTGCCCGTAGGGCTGGCGAGAGGGCATTTAGATGCCCCCTTTGTCACCATTTCCTCCAGTCATGGCTCTCTTCCTCTTTCTAGTCTGCGCCCATCCCTCGGAGCACTGTGTGGGATGGTGGTTCTGAAGCTGTAAGATCAGGAGCTGGTCATGTAGCAGATATTTATTGATCTCCTGTTAGGGTGATAAAAATTTTTAAAAAATATATATTTTTATTGATTTCAAAGAGGAAGGGCGAGAGAGAGATAGAAACATTGATGATGAGAGACAATCATTGGCTGGCTGCCTCCTGCACGCCCCCTACTGGGCATCGAGCACACAACAGGGCATGTGCCTTTGACGGGAATCGAACCAGTGACCCTTCAGTTCTCAGGCCAACGCTCTCTCCACGGAGCCAAACCAGCTTGGGCAGGTGATGAGATTTTTTTTAATGAGGTGCACATGCTAGGTCATGACATGGAGTCATCACAGGTCCGTACCTGGCCTTCTTTTATTTCACTAACTTACATTTTATTGTATTATTCTCCCTAAAATTTTTTATTTATTTTTTAAAAATATATTTTATTGTTTTTTTACAGAGAGGAAGAGAGAGGGATAGAGAGTTAGAAGCATCGATAAGAGAGAGTCATCGATCAGCTGCCTCTTACACACCCCCTACTGAGGATGTGCCCGCAACCAAGGTACATGCCCTTGACCAGAATCGAACCCGGGACCTTTCAGTCCGCAGGTTGATGCTCTATCCACTGAGCCAAACCGGTTTCCGCCTCCCTAAAATTTTTTTAAAAATATCTATGTATAAAACATATTGAACACTGGTAAACCAACACCAAAACCAGGGACGTTAGCAATAACGTACATTTCCTTAGGGTAGGGGTGTCGAACTCAATCAGAGAAGGGGCCAAAATCTAAAATCCAGCCTAAATCGCGGGCCGAATGGTTTACTGAACAGTCATAAACTATCATTGTGATGGAAACGCAGCGGAGTGCAGTGATGACAGCGCGGTGCGGGCCACATTGCAAGGCCTGGCGGGACGGATTTGGCCCGCGGGCCTTGTGTTTGACACGTGTGCCTTAGGGGGTACGCACCTATTTTGTGCCAGATTGGGAGGCTGGCCCTCTCTAGGGGAGTGACAGGAAGGAGAGGTCATTCGAGGGTCAGGCTCCGGGGGCGGGGAGCAGAGGCCGCAGGGCAGACCGGGACCTGGTGCCCACGCTCTTCTCCCTTCTGCCCGGCCAGGAGGCACGCTCTGGTCCCACCTGCGCTCCCAGGCCCGCCCCCAGCAGGCCGGGCCCAAGCCTGGCTCCAGCCGGGAGAGGAGGAAGGCTCAGCTCAACCCCCGCCTCAGCATCCGGCCCCCAACGTCGCTGCCCGCTGGCCACACCTGCCTGCAGGACCCAGTGCCCCTGGACTCTCCCTGGACTTGCCGGAGCTTCGCCCCAGCCAGGCAGGTGCCGCCCGTCGGACCCCAGCGAGAGGCTGAAGGTGCGCCCTCAGCCAGGACCAGCACCCCCTGCTCCTCCTCCTGCTCCTCGGACCCTCCGAAGGCTCCCGGTGGCCGCCTGCGCCTCCCGGCCCGGAGAGAACCTGGCCGGAACTCAGACACTGGGTCCCCCTGGGGGCTCTCTTGGGTCCGCGAGGGGGCGGGCCGGGTGCTGGGGGGCTGTGGCCGCAGCAGAGGTCCCAGCTGCCCCTCCGCGGACACGGCCGGCCGGGGGCCCGGCGGGGGCGCCTGGAGCGTGAGGGAAGAGCAGGCCAAGCAGTGGGCGGCGGAGCTGCTGGTGGCCCTGGAGGCGCTGCACCAGCAGGGGGTGCTGTGCCGGGACCTCAACCCCCGGAACTTGCTCCTGGACCAGGCAGGTAGGTGCCCGGCCTGGGGAGGGGAGTACAGTGGGGGGCCCCCAAAGCCTCCAGACAGAGGAGAGTGCCACGGATTCAAGGGAAGGGTGGAGGTGATCTGCTTCCCCCAGCCTTTTTTTATTTTATTTTTTAAAATATATTTTATTGATTTCTTACAGAGAGAAAGGGAGAGGGATAGAGTTAGAAACATCGACGAGATGCCGAAACCGGTTTGGCTCAGTGGATAGAGCGTCGGCTTGGGGACTGAAGGGTCCCGGGTTCGATTCCGGTCAAGGGCATGTACCTTGGTTGCGGGCATATCCCCAGTGGGATGTGTGCAAGAGGCAGCTGATCGATGACTCTCTCTCATCGATGTTTCTAACTCTGTATCTCTCTCCCTTTCTCTCTGTACAAAATCAATAAAATATATTAAAAAAAAAAAAAAAAAAAGAAACATCGATGAGAGAGAATCATCGACCAGCTGCCTCCTGCACACCTCCTATTGGGGATGTACTTGCAACCCAGGTACATGCCCTTGACCGGAATCAAACCTGGGACCTTTCAGTCCACAGGCCGACACTCTATCCACTGAGCCAAACCAGTTACGGCTCCCCCAGCCTTTTTTTTTTTTTTTTTTTTTTTAATATGTATTTGTCTTGATTTCAGAGAGGGAGAGAGAAGCATCAGTGATGAGAGGGAATCATTGATCGGCTGCCTCCTGCACACCCCATACAGGGGATCGAGCCCACAATCAGGCATGTGCCCTGCCTGGGAATTAAACCGTGACCTCCTGGTTCATAGGTGGATGCTCAACCATTGAGCCACACCAGCCAGCCCCTTCTCTGTCCCCCCACCCCCTCACCCGCCAACTCCCCTTCAGGCCCAGGAGTCCAGGGCAGCAGCTCCTATGAATACCCAGTTGTCTCCGGGCCTCGGGGCTGCATGCCCCTCGGGAGGCCATGCTTAGCGAGGCCGGTGGCTCCTGCCTTGTGTGTGGGGGGCGTGCTGGAGCCCCCTCCCCCAGGCCAGCTGCTCAGCGGTGACTAATGGTATTTTCTGTCCCCATCCCATCCCCTGCCCACGCTGGACGGGAAGGTCACATTCGGCTCACGTACTTCGGCCAGTGGTCCGAGGTGGAGCCCCAGTGCTGCAGAGAGGCTGTGGACAACCTCTACAGTGCCCCAGGCAAGGGGGGCCTGGACCCCGGGGCCTTTGTGTGGGTGAACGTGGGGGGGCAGGGGGGCTGAGGGTGACAGAGGGGATGGGCTGTGTCTGGGTAGGATGACTGGAGGGGAGACCCGCCTTCGTGGGGAAGGTGGGGACATTTGCGTTCTTGCTCCCGCAGAGGTGGGTGGCATTTCCGAGCTGACGGAAGCCTGTGACTGGTGGAGCTTTGGGTCTCTGCTGTATGAGCTGCTGACTGGCACGGTGAGTGGCGGGGCAGGGGGTGGGGCCCTTGTGGGCAGTCACTGAGGACAGGGTGGCCTGGGCTCAATACAACCAGCCCATGGGGGACTCAGGCTGCCTGGTGCTCCAGAACCTGGCCCTGGGACTAGGTGTCCTGCCAGCTCAGCTGCCCTCCCCAGCTCACCCCCACAGGGAGCCACTGCCACCCAGGCCGTGGGCCCACTTCATCCCCCCATCCCCGCCCCCAATACTAGTGGCTGTAGCTGGTGAGCCTGCCAACTTCCGTGGGCGAGAGCTGAGCGGGGGTGGGCAGGGCAGGTTTCTGGAAGAGCAGCCTGGGCCCAGGTCTGGAGGAAGGGTGCAAGAGGACAGCCCTTCTTCCCTGAAACACGCTGGCTCACCCCCTCAGCGCTTCCCACTGCTCGCTTCCCACCCGACAGCCTCCTGGGCTGTAACCCCCAGGCGTTGGCTGAAGAGCAGGAGAGAGGGCCTCCTGGGTGCAGGCCGGCCGCTGTCCGTCCAGCCTGGGTCAGCCAAAGGGCTCAATGTTTCCCTCCGCAAACACCCTCCTCGCTCAGGATGGCGGCCTCTGCCCTCCGTCCGCCCCGATGAGCTCAGCTCTGCACCTGGGGCTGGTGAGGTCAGACAGCGAGGGAAAGGCCGGACCGCCTTGAAGCAGGAAAGAGCCAGAGAGGAAGCAGTGTGACCTGAAGCCCAGATCTGACCTCACCGTGGCTGCCACCTGCGTTTGCCCCGTCGCCCGGGGCCTCGGAGCCCTGGCTGCAAACAGAGCTGCTCTCCCCTCGCAGCCTCCCGCCACCTCTCCAGCCTGAGCTTCTCGCCCTCCTCCTGGTCTCTTCTTGCAGCTCACCCTGACCTCCAGACAGACCTCCTTGCTCTCCGCAGCTGCACCCTGCTGGCGGCAGAGAGGCCCTGCCTTCCCTCACCACAGCCCGGCCTTGGCCCGGCAGCAGCATGCCATGGCCAGCTGCCAAATGAGTGGCCCATGGAGGGTTTTTGTTTCTTTGCTTTTTCTGTATGAAGACAAGTCCCAATACTCATCCTGAAGTGCCTGTCCTGACTGCAGCCAAGAGCAATGGATCGAGCGAGCTTAGAGCCAGAGGGACCTGGGTTCAAACCCTACCCTCAGCACCAGTCCCTTCACCTCTCAGCTGCTTTTGTCTCTCCAGTGCGATACTTGTATTTCCTCGGAGAGTGGTTGTGGGCATGTGTGGAATGGCTGTCAGGCATCGAATGCCGTCTGGCGTACAATTGATCCAAAGCAGACCCAATGGCCTGCCTTGCCATCATCGTCCCATGGAATGGGATACAGGGAACAGTAAAATCCTGACTGCCGCTGGGGTGGACCGATGTTCCAGGGCTTGCCCCCTGAGGCCCCTCCCTGTGTCTTCGCAGGCCCTCTCCCAGAGCCACCCCTCAGGAATCCAGCCCCACACCCAGCTCCAGCTGCCCGAGTGGCTCAGTCGCCCAGCTGCCTCCCTGCTGACTGAGGTGAGGTCAGCCCCTTGGCCTGAGGGTGGACGGGCGCTGGGAGGGCAGAACCCTGTGTGTGAACAAGCAAGCTGCTCCCGGATGGCTGATGTGGGTGCAAGAGGTTACAAAGTTCTCTATATGTTGGGGGCCAAACACCACCAGTGTTCCCCAGGGTAAAGCGGGGGGTTCTGTGGGCTGGGCTGGCAGGCAGTGAGCCCACGGGGCCATGGTGACAGGTCCCTGGCAGTCAGCCCACCCCTCAGCAATGGGGCTGGGAAGGCCTGCCAGGCGCTGACTGGGCCTTTCTCCACAGCTACTGCAGTTCGATGCCAGCAGGCGCCTGGGAACCGGAGGGGGTGGTGTCAACAGGCTCAAGACCCACCCCTTTTTCAGTACCATCCAGTGGAGCAAGCTGGTGGGGTAAGAGAGGGCGGAGTGGGCGATGGAGGCAGCTGGACTGGCCTGGATCTCCTCTCTTCTCTTCGTCTGCCATCCTGCCGCTCTGAGCTGACCCTAATCCTGTCACTCTGATCAGTGGCCTCTGCAAGGAAGGCGGGTCAGCCGCCTCTCCTGCTCTGCTCTGTTCCCTCCTGTGGGCCATCGTCGCTGCTGCCCAGGAGGGGCCTAGGGAGTCCTCCGCCAGCTCTTGGAGGAACCCTTTCTAGTCACTGCTGAGGGGAAGGGACAGGTCAGAGCTCACCCTGCTAGGTGGCTTGGGCCCCTCCCTCCACCCATCGGTCCACAGAGACCTGTGGAGCACACACCCTGAGCCTTGAACACGGACCTACCCCGTTCAAAGGGTGCCTTCTGTCACATTCGCTCCGAAGTACTCACCACTTGCTGAGCTAACCTTGAGGTTTTGTTATTCGCTACCTGCCGTGTTGTGCCCTACTTGGGGCATCCCTGGAGACTTATCTCAGGATACTGGTCCACTGGCTTAGTGGGCTCAAGTTAGGGCTGCCCTGGTTGATACCTTAGCCACGTAAATAGTGGCCTCTTCTCTCAGACTCCTCCTGCAGGGGGTGGGGAGGCCGGGGGCGCAGGGAAGACGTCTGCTGTGAGCAGGCAGTGAGGTGGGGAACAGGGTGACCCACTCCCCCTCCTGACCATGCCCCTGTCTTGCAGTTTCAGACTCTGAAAAGGAAGAGGGGTGTGGGGGAGGGAACAGGGATTAGGAGGAGGGGAGAGGGCACCTTTGCCAATTAGAGCAATTTTGGAAGCAGAGAAAGATCTCCCCTCCCCAGGGTGGAGAGAAAGGGGAGCCTGCCCCATGGGTCTGAGAGACCACAGTTAGCCTCCAGTGGGAAGCTGCTAAGATAAGCCGGACTCATTAGGATTCCCTTCTCAGGCATTGGTCCTATTTACCATTTCGCATTTTAGTCTTGAGGGTCCACTCAATTCATTGCCTACTGTGACTTCATCCCCTTTTGAAATGAATCACAACACAGAGAATGGTTGCCCAGGCTTAGCCAGAAGCAAGATGTTTCTGGTCTCTGAAGAACTGGGATAAGTAGTTACCCCAAATACAATTCCCTCCTCAGGTTTGGGGGCTTTTTCTTCTCAGGACTCATCCTGTCACTGGGGTGTGGCAACTTCAACTTTCACCAGACCTCTATCCCCAACCCCTTGCCTGTGTCTGTAACACCACCAGGTGGCGCCCTTGACACTCATCTCCATTCCATGAGGGAGGCTGGAGTGACTTGGGCAGAGGACATGGGGAAGCATAGCCTGGTATGGTCCTGGTTTCTCTGGGGCTTGACCATACCCTCTTGCCCCCAATAAAGCCTGATGTTGCCTGTGGTATTCTTGCCTCATTAATGCAAGGAGAGCTACCCTGTATGAACAAGAAGATTGGAAGGCTCCCCCAAAGCTCCATGATATTCAGCAGTGACTTAGGAAGCAGGGCTGGTGGTAGACCCACCCACATGCCAGCCTGTGCCCTGCTGAGTAGCATTGAGCCTAAGGGGAAGTGCTGGCATGGAGGGGCATTGGCCTCTAAGGGAAATAAAAGACAAGCCTCAGAAGAGGGTCATGGTGCCTAGGGGGAAGAGTTTAATCTTCAGTAAACTATTACTAAGACAGTGGCTCCTACTCAAAGAGGTTAATGACATCTTAGCTGATTTGGCTCAGTGGATGCAGCATCAGCCTGCAGACTGAAGGTTCCTGGGTTCCAGTCAAGGGCACATGCCTGGGTTGCAGGCTTGCTGGGGGTGTGCAAGAGGCAGCTGATCTATGATTCTCATCATGTTTCTCCCTTTCCCTTCCTCTGAAAACACACACACACACACACACACACACACACACGAGGTTAATGACAAGATCTGGTGGGAGCCTAGTGGAGCCTGCCCAGTCTTCCGTTTGCTACGCTCCCTAAGTCAGGCCAGACCTCCTCCAACCACTGCTGTAGGTCCGAGTTGCTTCTGGAACTTCTGGGCCCCATCTATGCAATAGACACCATACATGTGGCACTGAGCCAGGCTCGAAGTTTTGAATCCTGTAGCCCCAGACCTTATGGGGCTTACAATATACCTCCTTAATAGGTTTACTAGAGAAACGAAAGCTTCTAGCACCAGGTTCTGGACCTAGAAAATTCTAAAATTCCTTTCATTGAACCCAAATTCTACCCTCGGAGAGCCACTCTGTTCCTGGGACAGACCTCCAGAGATGGCACCACTGGAAGATCAGCAGGCATGGACTGTATGGAAGCATCAGGTATATTTAAGCCTGGAGACCATCATGCCAGTCACCTGGAGTCAGTCTGTTAACTGTCCCTCACAGACCACCGCTCCCAGGAGGTAACTGACCCTCACTGGTTTTTACTGACCTTGGTATCCACCCCAGAAATGTGTTGGTGTTTGCAGGGGCCTCACACAAAGGTGTGAGCCAGTCTCTGCCCAAGAGCCCGACTTGCCAGGCTTTGAGGGGTCAACTGGAGGCCAGGGCACTTCCCTGGCTGGCAGCCAGCCACAGACCCATTTTTTGTCGAATCAGTGCAGTGTCAAGTCAGGTATTACAGGATCACTACAGGGACATTATGTGGCTTTCAATGCCAATAATAAGTGTTGGAGACTTACACAACCTCAGTAACCGAAATGAACACAGAAGCAACAGGAACCCCATTTGAGAATTTTTGCCCTTTAATTTGCATTTAAAGTCAGTTTCTTTAAATATTTCAGTTACGAGTTCTGAATAGTGAAGACATAGCAGATGCTGCAGGCACTCAGTATTGGCTCCCATCCCTTCCCCCCACCCTTCCCCCAGGCCTTACTTCGAGATACAAGTGGGCACTCTGCACTAAATAAATGGCTCCCATGTCAAGTGTCAGCAGCCTCGGGCCTGAATGCAGTTGGATTTAAAGCAATGAAGCCTGGTAGTTTTCATGACAAGACGTGTACATTTAACCATGTTCCAACGAATTTCAATGATTGTGTCCAGACCAATCGGGCAGTACCTTAGAGGTGACATCGGTCACTTCCCCGTGACTGGCATCTTGGGGCTGGTTCCCAGTCCACCCTCCCCCAGACTCGTGCTCTGCAGAGCCAAAGCCCCACTTCCCAAGGGCCATGAGGAGGAAAGAACTGCCTCTTCAGTCACATGCTCAAACCAATGGAATTTAAAAGCTCAAGTCAGTCGGAGCCTGTCCACAGGACGCTCGCTCCCCCCAATCCCTACCAGGCTCCAGTCCATCCTCCACTGCCTTGATGTACTAGAATCAGCTCGATGAGAACAATGTGCTAGAACAGTTCCTAGCAACCTAGAAAGGTTGGCACAACCATAGCTGTGCCAAAATGGGTTTTCCTGGTGTGAGGCTATGACAGAGAAATGTGAGGACAGGCCTGGGTTCTGGTCTCGTTTACAGCTTATGATCTCAGGGGGGATCTGCCCTCTCCCCCTCAACACTGCCAACATCCCTCCTACCCAGGTCCCCTGGCCTGTGCTTCCTGGAAGAGGTAGTAGAGGCATCTTGAAGTCAACGACAACTGAGAATGAAGGTGCATTTAAGCAAAGCAGCACCTCTTGGCCTGTGGTCAATACCTCCACTCAGGTGGAATCAAGTGAGAATGTGCACAGCCAGGGCAGAGGCTGCTCCGAGCGTGGGAGGCACAATGTCCTCCCAGGCAGCTCTGGAGAATACACTTTCAAAAGACTGAAACTTCATCACATGGTCCCCAGTGGTTTCCCTATAGTGTACTGGCACAGGGGAGAAGCAAAATGATCTTGGCAGAGGGTTAATGAAGAAAGGGAGGGATATTAATGAGCATCCGTTAAGGCTCTCTCTCTCTCCCTCAAGCCTAAGGAAGTAAGATATGCGAGTGTTAAGAGGGGGGTGCAAAGAGAGAGAGAGAGAGAGAGCCTGTAGGAACTCCAAGAAAGACCTGCGACTGCTGGTTATATAGTGCCCTGGCTTCCTTGCATGAGGCCAACAGCATGTGCCTGTCTGTCGCCAGGCGAACTCGGGAACCCCCGTGGGGCAGAGAGAAGACTGGTTTTCAGTTCCTGCGTGGTCAATGTGTTGGGTGTGTGACTTCCTCCTAAAGGTCCATTAGGAGGATTCTGGGATCCTCTACCGCTGCCTTGATTTTTCGGAGGAAAGTCACAGCCTCTCTGCCGTCGATTAGCCGGTGATCATAGGTCAGTGCCACAAACATCATGGGCCGTATCTCCACCTACAAAGAGAAGAGGTTTATAGATTGTCTGCAGCAGAAAAGCCCCATGGAAGTGGGGAAATGAGAAAAGTTCCTTTCCTATTGGTGTCCCTCTACATACAATATTTCTGAAGACCAAGTCTTATCCTTAGAGCAAAGCTCCCCTGCTTACCCTACTCTGAAAAACAAAGTAAACAGGAGTCTCCGCACAACTGCCTTTTTAAACACTCTCTGCCCTTTATTCGTTTTCTAAAGGAAAAGTTTCCCTTTCAGGCTGGCTTTAGGGTTATAAATTTAAACCTGGAGTCCACAAATTCTCTGAAATTGTATGTAAAGTAGGGTGTGTGAGCATTTTCAGGGGGGAAGATCTGTGATTGTAGACTCACAAAGGAGTTAGTGATCCAAAAAGGTTTGAAACAGCCCCAGAAAATGTTTTCCTACTGACATGTCCTCCGGGGCCAGCTCCACACCCTGGGACTTCCCTCCCTGAACTCCCAGAGAACCTCTAAGCCTTACCCTACACTGGGAAGCTCATGGACTGCTCTGCATTATCCTTTTCCCAAGGATCAGGTCCCCAACTGTACCCCCAGTTCCTACAGCACCTAGAGAATGAAGCCGGCTGACTGTCCTGGATAAAGGAGCAAGCCTTCCCAGCTCAACTGTCCTCAGACTTCACTGTGCATCAGAATCATCTGCGGGTTCTGCTTCAACGGGTCCAAAAGGGGGTCCAAGAGTTAGCATTTCTAGTAAGTTCCCAGAAACTAAGAAATGAAACTTAAGCCTAAAATTACAGTGACTCTCATAACTGGCATTTAGTAAGATTTCCTCTCACCACCTAGCTCCTAGGACATGGACAGTGATGGTTCTTACCTTGCCTCCAATAGCCACTGGCCTATCAAAGATGGCATGCATGCCCAGGATGGCAGACTGAGGGGGGTTGATAATGGGTGTTCCAAAGAGGGAGCCGAAAACACCTCCATTGCTAATGGTGAAAGTACCACCATCCATATCTTCAATGGCCAGTTCATTCTTCCGGGCCTAAACACAGAGATTACATCATTGCAATGTAAGGGCAGGTGAGCTTTCTTCACCTAAAGGAAGTCCAGAGGGTTCGTATCTGAGGTCAACATGGCAAGTCCCTGCTGCAACATGAAAGTTGTTCAGCTGAGCCAAGCCAGCGTGGCTCAGTGGTTGAGCGTAGATCTATGAACCAGGAAGACACGGTTCGATTCCTGGTCAGTGCATATGTCCAGATGCAGGCTCTATCCCCAATGTGGGCCATACAGGGGGCAGCCGATCAATGAGTCTCTCTCATCATTGATGTTTCTCTCTCTCTTTCTTCCTTCCTCTGAAATCAATTAATATATATATATATATATATATATGTATATATATAAATAATTTTTTTTTTTTTAAAGGAAGTTTTTCAGCTGAGATGCTGCACCAGAGGACAGACACAAGGCCTTCAGGTCCTCTTGTGTTCCAGCAGGTTCACTTGATGAGTCTTCAGTCACGAGAGCATGCTAAGCTCTGCCCAATGTCCGCACTTCAGCTCTAGTGGGCGAGAGGCCATGCCCTCTCACGGAACAGGGTGAGGCTCCAGCTCCCTGAGCACGGCTCACTGGCGAGCGCTGCCTTCCCGGCCCTGCCCTGCGGCTTAACACGGGCTGCGTTCTACTTTACCTTCTCTCCCAGTTCACTGATGGTTCGCTCGATATCTGTATAATTCATCGTTTCCACGTTCCTGATGACGGGAACCACCAGACCCTGATGAAAGTGAAAAGCTGTTTTCAGTTGCAAATAGCACCTTTTACAGTTATAACTCCCTGACTCAAGTCAATGGTGGTCCCTTCCCAGAATATCTAATTACTTAATTTGATTAACAGAGTCTAAAATATTTAGGCTTGACATTAAAAGAATGAGGTATGTTCAAAAATAAGTTACTCT